TGTGTGCCGCGCAGCTGAGCACATGAGCCGCTGTTTGCTCTCTTTCAACACCAATCAGCTCGGCCAATTTAACTCCTAGTCCCTCTGCACTGAGAGAAGACATGACTAAACCATCCCAGTCTACAATAATAACACGATTACCTGTGTGTGTGTGTGTGTGTGTGTGTGTGTGTGTGTGCGTGCGTGCATGCGTGCGTGCGTGCATGTGTGTGTGTGTGTGTGTGTGTGTGTGTGTGTGTGTGTGTGTGTGTGTGTGTGTGTGTGTGTGTGTGTGTGTGTGTGTGTGTGTGTGTGTGTGTGTGTGTGTGTGTTTTTTTTTCATATACAGGCCCAAATGGAAGGACATGGAAACATCTATTCTCCTCTTATCTGTTTTCACAGTCACATTGTGAGGACCCACCTCGTTTTGAAGACAAAAACCAGATCCAGACATTTTCATCTTAGACTTGGTTTATGGTTACACCTGATGTAGGTTTGTAGGCTGTATAAAAGAAGCCCTCTGGTTTGTCCATTATGGTTTGAAGTGTTGAGTTAACCCTAACCCTCAAGCCGCCCTCCCATGATACCCAATGTGTTCTTTGCTCACCTCCAGGTAGGAACAGAGCATTGGAGAAAACAGCTAGTTTTATCGTTGCTCATGTGAACCCGGCTTAATCCTGTTAACTATAACCCTGCTAACTATAACCCTAACCCTTCAGGACAGCACTGTATTAATATAGGTCCTCATCTGTTTTTAGAAATGTTAGGCGATTTATATTATTTATGGACATAATTATCAACTATTCCATGTTCAATTTGGACGGCAGTAGTTCAGTAGGGACTTGACTTGGACCTGGAACAGACCAAGTACCGAGCAAGAACCTGAACTATTGTTTGAGGATAACAGTCTGTGGTGGTCTTAAACAAGGCAGCAGACCACCGCAATGCTCCTATAGCTCTTAATATGAGGAGGGGTTAAATGAACAACTACATTTCAGTGTGTTCAAGTTAGTGAATGAAAGAGTAATTCATTCCAATCCTTTGACTTCCAACACACACTGTAGTTCACAACATAGTATATTGTTAAATTAAGAATTACGAAATGATTGCACGCAGATTTGAAACTTTTTTCAATTAAATAAAAGTAAGCTTTTAGTGAACATATGAACCTCTTACCATTCTTTTTTTTCTTTTTTGTTTCTTTAAAACTTAATGTCAATTAATACAAGCTTCATGTTGGAATAAATAATTTGATAATATGTTCTCACCTCGTCTAAGTAGTGCTGTATTAGTTCAATTTGCCATCCTGATATTTGTGTTTCTCAATGACCCAGCCCCCACCCAAACCCCTCCCTCCCTCTGTCTCTGTGGCTGCTGGCGACACTAGTATCGATGTAAGCTGTGTTTTCTCTCATTAATTTATCAGCTCAGTGGAGGAGGGGGGCCTCAGCGGGAGGGGGAGATAATGGCTTCCATTTGGCCAAGGTCAACAGTCAACACATTCCTCAGTCGTTCAAATATAACCACACATTAACTCCTTTCCACCAGAACCACAAGGGCACACACGCACACGCACACGCACACACACTGACACTCACACACGCACACGCACACGCACTGACACTCACACACGCACACGCACACGCACTGACACTCACACACGCACACGCACACACACTGACACTCACACACGCACACGCACACACACACGCACACGCACACACACTGACACTCACGCACGCATGCACGCACGCACGCACGCACGCACGCACGCACGCACGCACGCACGCACGCACGCACGCACACACACACACACACACACACACACACACACACACACTGACACTCACAGCTAATAGATTGTTAGTGAGCTGGTAATACTGTCTCTGATACAAAGGCTCTGATCCCTGTTCAGAATAAGAGCTGAAGAATGGTGAACTTATGATAACCACTGTAGAGAAATAAAGTACAGATGAAACCTGAAATGGAAAATCAGATTTATAGCTGAAATGTAGTTTACCTGTTTTCAGGGCACTATTTTTCCTTTTACGGTTCAAGACTTTAACTTTTTTTTGGCTGGTTTGTGAAGATGAAACCACAAGATTTATTGACTACAAATAAAAATGTTGACACTCATGCAAAGTTTTCTTAAACAGTCATAGACCCATAAAGGTTACAGCCTGTTAATAATAAATATCCACACCTGTTGGCTTCTTCTTTGTTTACAGGCCACAACATATATGTAATCTTTTATGGTACAAATATTATATAATGTATATATATATAAATATCTTGAAAAATAAAAAAGACTAAAGTTGTAGCACTTGTGTGCCCTGAATTTACACGTACAGGTATATCATTCTAAATAGTTTTGTCATTTTTGGGGTAAACAAACAAAACACAATTACAATATGTTTAGGTTAAGGTAACTGTGATTTGGTCAAATAAAATAAAATAAAAATAAAGAAAAGGGAAACGGAAATACTCTTGTTCTTCATAAAAAAACAAATGTATTAGCATGATAATAGTAAATAACATTATTTTCCTCTGAAAAAAACACATTTGTTGTTACACATGTTTAGAGTGTAATTGCAATTTCTAGACTGGGTTACTTGGGCAATAATATGAAATGCTCTAAATAAACAGAAGGATGGTACTTTTTGAACAGCATTCACTCAGTTTTTACTGCGTCTTTCACAGTATAAGTATAGCCATTAAGAAAGTGCCCTTGAATGATGAATTGATCACAACCTATGATGACAATGTAAGTAGGCTACTACAATAATTGATTAAGGCAGGTAAACTTAAACAATCCTTTTTTGTCACGCACATATCTCGAATGACCTTTGGAGGTACAATTAGTAACCGTTCCATTTATGCTAACAGAATGGTTTCACGAACAATAATTGTGTGATTATTCCAAAAAAACACTGCAACTACAATTTCAACGGAGCCAGTGAGAAACAGACTCCTGTGGTGGTGGTATCTGTGTGTGGTGTGTGTGTGTGTGTGTGTGTGTGTGTGTGTGTGTGTGTGTGTGTGTGTGTGTGTGTGTGTGTGTGTGTGTGTGTGTGTGTGTGTGTGTGTGTGTGTGTGTGTGTGTGTGTGTGTGTGTGTGTGTGTGTGTGTGTGTGTGTGTGTGTGTGTGTAAAGTGAACAGATCAGCAGGCCCTTTGGAATCAGTCGGCTATCTGCAGAACATTTCACCCACAACTGTGTGGGCTATTTCTCCAAATGTTGACTTTCCCCTGCACAATTTGTGAAGCATTACACAATACAGAGGCTGAGATCGATGTGCATACTGTTGGTTTTGGAACAGTCTTGGATGTGTGCGGTCATTAACCTCGGCAATGTAACACAAACAAGGTTATAAGAGCAGAGAGCTTTAATCCTTCACCCACTGTTCTTTTCTGTAACATTTCCAAATATGCCTCCACATCTCCTCCACTTTAACAACAACGGATCACCTCTGGTATTAAAAGCACTGAACATATGACAATCAATCAGCGCCCTGTATCTCCTGCTGTCCCGCTCTTTTGAGGGTTCATCAATCATTAACCTAATCTACTTACTGAAAAACTCCCACAGTGTTTGCATGAGAACTCAATGATAAGCTATTTGAAGTTGAATGTGGTGATGGGACGACCATTGACATGGACTAAACTGTTTGCTAATCTGTGGCTGCCTTTGATTCCTCTGAAATCAGGAAGCAGCCAAACTGCAGAATGAAGAGCAGTGATTGGGTTTGCATGACTGCTGTGTTTCAAGCAACGATCCTCCAAACAACAACCACTTGTATATACTGAAATATCTTTAGAATCAATTCAAATGTCCATGACCTAAAGGCTACTTGCTGACAAGTAAGTGTAAACCCAAAGAAGTTACAAGAGCTTGAGAAAATTAGGGCAACTGATTGACTTGATAAAAAAAGGCATAAATATGGAGCTTAAATATTTTTGACACTTGCATCAATAAACAACGGATATGAGTTCTATATATATATTGTATCTTTTAATCTGATTTTACTTAATCCACAAAATAGAATCAAAAACAATCTGTTAGATTAACTCAAAAACGAAGAAAATTTCGGAGGAACTCAAAATATTGAAGGTATCTAGAACTTTTTTGAAACTGTAGGTTTCCACTACTTCATCTTTTTAATTATTTTGAACATCTGGGTATGCAGTGTATCTGAGTGAGTTATTTGTGCATCATTTGAATAAAAGCCGGATTGCGTATCTATTACAGAAAAAATAGGCAATCCTCAGCTGAGGTGTGTGTTTTTCAGAATGCCTAAATATATGGATGGCAGGTTATGTTTATAAGAAGCTCATTTAAAATGTAAAAACAGGAAACCAGGGCCTCACTTTACACATTTGAATGTTAATTGACTCCAGAGCATTGTCTGAAGATAACAATAAAACAATTCAAAGAGCTTTAAGTGTGATTATGAGGTCTTGTAAGTCTTCCTAAAGAGCACAGGTTTTGTTATCCGTGATGTTAGGTGGGGGAAAGGGGGGGGGGGGGGGGGTCGAGGATGAGCTGCTGCCTGTAAAACTCCACCAATCCCAGATTATTTAAGGCAAGTACTTTCCATATCACTGATAACTTTCACTTTAAAAATGTTATTTAAAAAGCATGATAAACTTTGATGCTAAAATGCTAACACATATAAAGAGTATCACAAAAGCAGCCTGCTTTAACTTTGTGTTTATAAAGGCCCTTTTTTTGTTTCTTTTTAAATGTGTCCTTCCAATTCATTTGATCATTCAAATGTTATCCCCATTGAATTAGCTTCAGCACTGACTGAATTGTTACCACCTCTGACTAGGATTATGTTGGTATGTATTTCAAAAGCCTCATTATTTATTTCTCTATTCAGTTATCATATTTATTTCAGGTGAATTGTTTGTTTTCACTATTTGTGTCTGTCTTATATGGTCTATAATTAAACCAATTGCAATTCCAACAAATACAAAATAATAAATCTACATCCAAAGATGACACATTTATATTACCACAAAAATAGTTTATTAAATGTGACAAAACAGAACATAATGTGCTACATTGATTATTTAATTGAATATCACATTAAGGCAACAGCCCATAGACTTATGAGTGTTTATCACCCGACATACAGAACAGAAGATAACAGTTCATTTACAGTGATCCACAACACAGAAACAACACAAATACAGCGAGTGCTATTATGTACAAAAAGACTGTTGTTCAATAGAGATGACAGTCATAGTGAAAGGCACGGAACAATGGGGAAACGTTATTGGGGTTTGATTTTCACCTAAATATTACAACAGGCTAGTCAACCTGTCTCAACATGAAGTAAAAAGACCATGGGCCATAGGGGGGGGCAGCAGAAGCCAGCGCCCCTGTAACACTGAGCTTGGACCCCCCTGTGGCCCCCCTGCAAAGGAATATTTTATAATATTACAATTTATGATATAGCGTTGCAGCAAAGACTACTGTTACTTGGGTCCGCATTCGCATGAATGTGATCTCCAATAATCCAATTTAATAAAACTGTACCTGAGTCATTGGTCTAAGAGAACACCAATTATGGTGTTTTATGTTTTTTATGGACTATGACTTGAACTGAACAAAAACTGTCTATTCTATTTCTATTTTGTCCTGCATTAAATGGGCCCCTCTCATAAAGTAGCTGGCCCCAGCAAGGCCCCCCCAGTAAAGGGCCTGAATGTGAAGGGACAGGCTGAAGAAGAGCTCATGATCTTCATCACCCAGCTGGTGGATCAGATTCAGTGGAACTGTGGTCACATAAAGGTCAATGGTTCAGTGTGAACCCGTCGTCCTCTATGTCCAGCTCCTGGTCTGTATCCTCTGACACATCAGAGTCCAGCTCTGAGTGCTGCTGCGTCTGGTTTTGCTGCTGGTTCTGGTTCTGCTGCTGGTTCTGGCTCTGCTGGTCCTGCTGGTTCTGCCGCTGCGGGGACACGGAACGCCCGCAGCGGGCCGCCTGCAGCTCTGAGGCCGGGGCAGTGAGTCTCTGCTCCGGGCTCTGGATCCCGCAGGAGTCGGAGGTCTCGTCTCCTTTACTCCTCCCCGCGGAACCTTCATCCTCCACCTCCCTCTTCACTCCCTGGGGATTTTCCTGATGCGATCAGAGAAATATTGTTAGTGAATAAAGGACAGTGTGGTCGATCGCGCAGGCTAATAATAAAGATGAACCCTTTCTGAGGGGACATTCGTCCAAACCTCTCACCTGTTTTAGTCTCCGCCATTTCGCTCTTCGATTCTGGAACCAGGTTTTAACCTGAAGGACAAAATGAGAAAAAAAAAAGAATCTGTTTGTTTTTAGGATGATTCAATTAAGCATTATAACAAATGTCAAATAGAGGCTATGGGGTCAAATCCACCTAACATCGAGATGCTTTTTATGCGCCATTTTTTCATTTGTTAAAAAATATTTGTAGGGCTTCACCAGGTGGTCAGAACATGTCTATAATGGCCGGGTTTCATCTGCAGACACCGTATTTTACAAGATTTAAAAAAAGTATAATTTAACAATACTTTTCATTTGTTGATATTACACATTAATATTATAAATGAATCTTAATTCATATGAATATATTCAAACTAAACTGACCAAAATGTCCTCCAAACATTTGAAATGTACTCCCGTAAAGGCCTACCGCATATTTAAAAGTTGGGGTCATTTATTGAATGTCCAATTAGGCCTACATTATTTTGTAGTGCCTAATTTAAAACATGTTCATAAACACAACCTCAGTAACAAGCTAACGGAATATATTTATATTAGCCGATCCGTCTTTATTCCGCTGTCCCCTCACCTGTCTCTCGCTGAGCTGCAGCATCTTGGCCAGCCTCTTCCTCTCGGGGGGGGACAGGTACTTCTGCGTCTCGAACTTCTTCTCCAGCTCGATGGTCTGCTCGTTGGAGAACCGGACCTGCCCCCCCTTCCTCTTGTGGAGGGGCCGCTGCATGAAGGGGGTCCACATCAGGGGCTTGCCTGGTGGGGGGAGAAGAGACTCGGTTACCCTCACCATCCGAGCATACCGGGGGTTCTGACGGTCACTGAGCGATACAGCACCGTAACGGAACAAGCACATATTCAGACTAATACTGATATGGCTACATTGTAAGTAAGAAAAACGATTACGTTTTAATTGTTCAATAATTGCTATAGGCTATATCACTTAATTAAAATAATAATAAAAACGATCAAATATGCCTGAAATGAAAGAAATAAGAGATTGGAGACTTGAACATGCGGTGATATTAATAATATTATTATTATTATTAGGCTATTATTATTAGTGTTAGGCTATATGCGCTTATATTGGTTAATGTGTTAAATTAGCCTATTAACTTTTCAAATATAGCCTAACTGATGCCAACTGAAAGAGAAAAACGGCAGATTGCACACTTGTAATAATATAGCCTAAAGTGTTTACATATTTAGTTTTCGTTAATTGGTCTATTACAGTGTATTCTAACTTATTCTGTAGGCCTATATTTTATATAGGCCTATGTATATTTTTTAACATTTACAGTGTATTTAATGTAGCCTATTCTATATTAGTGATTGTAATGTTTTTTTTCTTCTGTAAAGCACTTTTACTCTCATATTGTTGAACTGTGCTTGATAAATAAACTGTTCTTACCTTGCCTTGCTTACAGGAAAATATATTAAAGTGCATCAATCTGAAATATGTTAGGGTCTGCCCCTTCTTTAATCCGATAGGCCTATATATTTATGTAGGCCTATCTTTTTTCATATTTAGGCCTACATTTTCTCTTCCAATTTTATTTTAAATACATGTTAAAGTCTTGTTCAATTCCTTGTAAACTGCTGTTACGAAGCATTTCCGATCTGGGATGGATAAAGCGGATCAAAATAATTCCCCTCACGATGTGAATTAATGAAAATTAATAGAATATCACCTCCCATCTTCAGAGCAATCTGACTAATATAACATTAGCGTTAAGAAAGCTTAGCTAAATATCTGCCACAAGTTAACATAAGTAACCGGATCAAAGTAACATTAGCCTATCCGCGGCACTGTGAGTGCAGACGTCGATGTGTCCAATTATCATTCATATCACATCATATCACATCTTCTGTAGGCTATCATATATTTCCTTATCTGAGTCAGCTGAGCCGTATCTCGCCGTGCAATACTTACAGTGTCACATAGGCTACTGTATGCAGAAGTATTATTTTAAGCAACACATTAAGTTGACGAAACACTCGAGTCAAATGTAGCCTAATTAAAGTCAGATCGTGTCTAGACGGGGCAGTGATATCATAAACCTGTTAATGTACGCATTCAAACGCTTTTTCTTTTACCAGCTGTATTCACCTTGCAGGTGCAGCTATGTGACTTTCATCCTGGATAAAGTGTTTAAGTCATGGATGTTTAAAGTTTAACGTCTTCATATTTGTCTAATATTATAGTTGACTTTTCATTCAGGAAGTATGACGCTGCGCTGTCAGTGCGCTTCTCCATGTTTGTGATTGGTCAAATGTTGCTAACCCCGCCCCTTTCATGTGAACGCGCACATAACTAGATAGGGCAAAACTGGCTTGAGTTAACAAGTTGATAACCAGCGTCGTAGGACCGTTTAGCGAGAGCGCGTTTGTTTTGGATTAGGTAAACCTGGTAACTCAAACATATCCAGGATATGTTGAACTGGATTCGTCGTACAGGCCTCTGGTCAGTGCTCCGTGTTGTTTCTCCTGATTGGAGAGTGTTTGTCTCTGTGAATGTTCTGGAACAGCAGCAGAGTGTGCAGGGCCCTCTTTAGGGAAGCTCGTGACAGAGTGAACATTATGGGCAAATATCCGCTGCATGCTTCCTGCTGGGGGGGGGGGGGGGGGGGGGGGGGCTGCTCCCCCGACACAGTGAATCTGCTGCTGCGGTTCAAACTGCTGCAGAACTATTGCAGCTCCTTCAGAGGAAGTTACCTTATCCAGGGTGAGGATGAGGTTAACATATTCTGAACACACTGATATCATGAAAGGGAGGTTTCAGTTGAATAAAGCTGAGAATAATTACCATTAAAAATATAGGACCCCTTTGGAGTCCTTGAAGTTGAGAGTGGATGATATTTGCAGTTTTTTAAGAAAGTCCAATGTTTTTAATGTTTTTATGAGCAGTATAATCGTTTTTTGTTTTGTTTCTTTCTGCCGGAAATATGCTCTAAATGTTGTTTAATTCTCCAAATGCAACCTGTATGCTATGGCAGGCTACAGTAAAGCTATTCATGTTTAACATTCTCTATTTTATATATTTACATTTTGTTTATTAGTTAATGTTCTGATTGGAATAAAGTCCTAAGTTATCCTCGATTTTCCAAAATGTCTAGAAAAGAATTGAATTTAAATGGTTTATTGACAATATATACACACAAATGTAATAAATAATATATAGAGCCTGAACAGGAGGAATCGTCTTAATGAATTATGTGTGGCTTACTTAAAACGCTTACTGTTTCCGTATACGAAAGGTATATATTTAAAGATACGAAAATGTAAATGCTATTGCAGGGCCAGTGGTGGACATTAAGGTTCATTCATCCAATACTGTAATTAAGCACACATTTGAGATACTTGTACTTCACCTGAGTATTTTTTATGAAACTTTATAATTACAGGCCTTTTCCACTTTATCAGAGGCAAATATTGCTTTCCCTTTTTTATCTTATCTTTGGTTAATTTAAATCAGATACTTAACACAAAATATTATTATCCTAATTGATTATGTGGTATCGTATACATATATTAGGGATAACAAAGTAGTTTAAATTAAAGTGCAAACTTAAAGTGTTCAACAAATTAATATATATTTTGTTTTTATTAACTGGAATATAATTGTTAATGCATTCAAAAAATGTAAAGAAGATAATAAAACGTTGAATAATTCCCTAAAAACACAAGTGAATAAACACAGGTCTGAAAAGGAGGAAACGGTCTCATAGACGTTTGTGTTATTTTAGTTTACATTTTATTTAAAATGTTATATCTGATTGAATCTGGTATCAGGGTCTCAAAACGCATCACGTGCTGAGTGGATTTATTTTGTTGGAACTGAGAAGTTCTTCCTTTTTCAGTTTTAGAGGCAATATGAGGTCAAACTTTGTTTTTTATTTAACACGAGCCTCTTTCTCCTTTAAAGCACAATTAAATATTTTCTAAATGAGACCTTTTTAACATCCATTCTGTTCCCCCCCCCCCCCACCCCCCCCCCCCCCCCCCCACCCCCCTCGCCGCCAACCATAAAGAAAGTCACCACTTCCTCGCGGCCCTGCAGAGGAAGTGAACAATATGTGAAAAACGGATCCCGGGCTATCAGAGGCCGAGTGTTTCCTGAATATGTCTGTATTGAGGATGTCGATAAAATAATCAGCAGCGTGCAGCGGGCTCCCGAGGAAGCGGCTGGCCGGGCCGAGCCAGGAAACATCCAACAGCTCCGGGGCAGATTTACTCTCACACCGAGCAGCTTCCGTTAGGAGCGGAAGAGCCACACAAAGGCAGACGGTCCGCCTGTCACTGTCTGTGGGGTGGGGTGGGGGGGGTGGGGAGTACCCGAGTACTTTTACTCTAGTACGGACAGTTTGGAGGTGCTTGTACTTTACTTTAGTATTTATATGCTACTTATACTCCAGTACAATTCAGAGGTAAATCTTAACATAAATCAGACTTTAGTTCCACCTGGAGTAAATCCACAAGCTACCCTGCAGTATACAAAGTCATTCAAACTAGCTGCACCTTTACCAGCTTTGAGAACACTTTAATGATCAATCATTATAAAACATATCATATATATTATTCTGCAATGGACCAATCTGCACAATGACTACTTTTACTGTCGCTACTTTAACTATATTTTGATGCTAATACTTTTCTACTTTTACTTGAGTAACATTTTGAATGCAGGACTTTTACTGTAACAGAGTATTCCTAAACTCTGGTACTTCTACTTTTACTCAAGTACAAGATCTGAGTACTTATACCACCTTTGTACAGGACCATCGACCTGAGTTAAAAAGAAAAGAAATCTGTTCAATGGGCTCAAATCCTAACGTGTTGTTATTTAATCAATGTTGAAAGAAGTAAAAGTCCTGATCTCAAAATGTTACTTTAAAAAAAAGTAAAAATGTTGAGGATAAAAAATTACCTAAAGTACAAAAAGTAAAACCTATTCTGCACAATGGCCAACTTCAGAACAATAAAGTATCAGGTAAATGTAATTCAAGTATCACAAGTAAATGTCCTTTTTATACATGTTCTACTGATTACTATTATATCAACACATCATGTGTTTGTATGTATAGAGTAACTGAGGGTTAAATAAAGGAGGTGGATTAGAAGATTAAAGTAGCATTAAATGAAAAATAATCAAGCAAAGTACAAATATGTCAAAATAGTACTTAAGTAGTACTTTAGTAAATGTACTTTGTTACTTCCCACCACTGTATTTAATGTATAAACTTCCAATGAATAAACCACCTGAATCCCCCTGATCCCACTACCACCTGATGCTTTTTGCCTTCTAGTAAATCAAAACAATCTTGTAACTTTTATTCTTTTATTTTAGACCTGTCTTTTTCTATTTTAACTTGTTTTAATTTGTATTCTATTGGCTTTAATATATAACTGTTTTTAAATGTACTCATAACAAATGTGTTTCACTTTCAATATATATTAATGATTGTAAGGTTATGACAGTGATTTATAAATAAAATGTCCTTGCTTTGCCTACAGGAACATATATTTAAGTATATGAAACCTAAATATTTTAGGGTTTGCTTTTTCTTAAACCCGATATATATGATTTATTTAAATGTGTCATAAACAACTTATGTAATTTGGCTATAATAAAAAAACATATGCATTGAAATGAATTGTCCTACTTTTTAGGGGACATTTGGTGCTTGAAAACACACACACCAACACATACAAAGCAGTGAAATAACAAGTGATTTAGAGCCATGTTTTAGTCACCGGCTGATTCGCTCCTCTGATGTTTCAGAACAATGGCAGTCAGGAAAAAGAGTCAAGGTTGCCATGCCCCCCCCCCTCCCCCCTCCCTATCACCAGCAGCAGCAGACGGAATGGATAAGCCTGCTGTTGCTATTGTGGCCCCAAATATGTCTGTCACAATAACAAAGTGACTCATATGTGCGTGGTCAGGCAGAAGGCCTCATGCAGAACTCTGTTGGTTCCAAAAAGAGCTGAAGTCTTTTCCCCTGCAATGTGTTTATGTGGGCTGCCTGTAACCGTCTTACAGTCGATATGCATGCATGACCAAGCGTGGTATATATGCAAAACGGTTTCGTTGACTCTGAAACGAGGCTTGCAAGACAGAAACGTTTTAAAGCAAAGGGTGAAACTATTGCTGAAATCAAGTGTGGTTTCTTTACAATATTAAAATAATAAAAATGCAAGGATGACTAATGAAAAGTGAGGATTTGCAGTCTGATAACAGACGCACTGACTGATGTGTCATTAGGCCAACAGTGGAACTGACGTGCTTTGTCACAACAAAAACATGATCTCTGTGGGTGGTTCTGTAAATGGCATTCCATTTAGAGTTCAAAGGCTTTATGTCATACACCAGATACAGTTATACATAAGTGATACATTATTAACGTATACACATAAGAAATAGTATGAATGCCCAAAATATAATCTATGACTTTTACGCACGCTTTACGCACAACTCACCGAGAGGGTCGTGCCTCAGCAGCGCCTGTGCGTACTCCCCCATGGAGCGGTGGTGCTGGTGGTGGTGGTGGTGGTGGTGGAACGGGTAGATGGAGCCGGCGAAAGCCCCGGCGGAGGCGTAGGTGAACGCAGCGGCGGCGTGGTGAGACAGCGCCGGGTGGATCGGGGTGGGTTCATAAATCGGGGTCCTGTACGGCGAGATGAGACTGGTGAAGGAGGAGTTGGGCGACGGGAGGGTCGGTGTAGGCATGATCGGAGTGGAGCAGGAGGATGAGGAGGAAGATGGGGAGGTGGTGGAGGCAGTCCTCCCCAGGATGTCCTCGATGTAGAAGGGTGTCGGGTGGGCCGGCTGGATGGGAGTCGGTGCGTAAAGCGGGACGCTCATGGTGCTGCGCGCTGGAACCGAGTTAAAGGAAAGCTGCGTCCCTCTTTTCTCTCCCTAAAGCCTTCCTCTTTCTCAGAACAACTTCTTTATATCCAACTAAACATCCACTTTGACTCACAGTGCAAACTTGAGTCCACTGAAACGCGTAACAGAGAGTCTTCCAGGCAGGAGGAGACCGTTAGAGTGTTTTGGTGTCCATCAGGTTGCGGTGGTGTCTCGCTGGTGCTTGGTCCAACTGTTGGGGCTGTTATCTGGCTGCAGGCGGAGAAGGGAGGAGATAAGAGGACGGCCAACTTCCTGCAGGTGGCCAGCGGGCGTTTCTGATTGGCTCACTCGCGCCTCCAATGGAGCCTACAGTGATCAGATGACCCGAGAGAAGAGATAGCTGTACTTCAGGAGAATCAGTTCACTACAGCCTATCATGTGTTAACCAGATGTACTGAGTGATATAATGCTTTAACGATGACTTAACAAATAGGTTTGTTTTTTTTAAAGCCAAAAGTCGTTATTCACTACAACACTAAAGCCATCTCATATTTAAATCTCATCACATTAAGCGCAATAGCCACAATGGTTCGTGGTTATTGCGACCGATCATAGACTCTGGAAAGCAGAAATCGTGTTTCTTCAATGGAAAACAAGTCCAATATTTAAACATGTTTTTCTTTCAATTGATCGGAAATAAAAAAGACAAGTACGAAATTATGTAAAAGCTCGAAAAATAGCACAAAAAAAGAAAAATGTCTGCATTTAAAATCTTACCAAAGTAGCACAGAAGTAACCCATTATAAGCACCTGAAGTGTCCTACTGTCAGATTGTTATATATTTTCTGATTATTAATGAGTTGGTTTTAATTGTTGGATGAGGAGAGATCATTATGAGGTTATTGATGACCAAGCTGTTTTGCCCATTTATTGTTAAGTTAAGTTGTTGGTCAAAATCTTCTCCAACTTATCTGCAAAACCAAATCTGACACTCTTTACATACATGCTACAGCTAAAAGTTCATTTGGAGGCTCTTTTTAATGTGAGTTTTGGTGATGCCTTCCTACATGCTGCATTCAGTAACATTAGCCTACAAACACAGGCCATTATCACACTTTGTCCATTTATTTAATGTGACCTCTAAATATCATATTGTTTCAAACTAAACTAAATAACTATTTTATTACATATTTATTACATTATGATAAGTGTTCAGTTCATACTTTCTATTTCTGACCAATAATGGTACTTTGAAATGTGTGAGTCCTTCATCACCCAACTAAATGAATGGAGTTAACCAAATTCTGAATAAAGTACTAAATGCTGTATTTATAGATTTGTGGCCTATAGCTAATCCAATTTATACAGGATTCCAATCATTCCAATAATACAGGATCCTGTAAAAATATCCAGAATGAACCCTGCAGTAAACTCCCCCAGGACCAAACCCCCCAACTCTCACACAGATCCAACTGCCTCCTGCTGTCAGTGTTATATGGCCCTGGTTTTGCGCACAGCCTAACGTGCGTTAAATGGTTATTTGACTAATCACACAGTTAGAGTGTTATCTCTAACAATGTAGTACAGAATAACTGCAATCCACATCCCTAACGGTGAGCTGTAGGAGAGTGATTAACTCACAATTTGAATGTTTGGAGTTTTCCTGTGAAATCCACCTATCAGGTGATATACTTATGATAATGGCTACAAATGCAAATCGCTTTAATGGCTCACTTAGTGCATGTTTACCGGCCCTCACACACGTTTCCGCAGGGTGTTAAACAATAACTGATAACTTGTGTGTTCCACAGTTACACCACGGACACAACACATGCTGATTTTTTTACGACTTCATACGGTCACAAGTCACGCTTCAGTGTTGGGAGGAAGTCCAGAGCTGCTCACTGATAAATCTCAATGGACCTCAATAGTTCGATTATCTGATTCGTCTTTAAAGCGCGCGCCGCTAACTGCCAACTTTCTAATGGCTGTAATTTAGATAAAGTGGACTAAGAGAGCAAACAGCGGTATTAGCAGCCTTGAAGACATGAAAGAAGAGAGCAAACGGCTAATATTTGGACTGAGACAATGATTGCAGCGCATTGATCCGGCCGGCGTCAGGCTCCTGTCCGGCAGAGACTGATCACTCCTCAGCCCCTCTGCTGCCGCCAGCTGGCGCCATGTCAGCCTATATATGTAACAATCAACAATCCAAAGAAGTCTCACAGAAAGGACGGAGTTTTCCACAGTCTCCTACTATGAACACACATCAGTATTATTTCTATGAACAAAAAAAAGTGGTAAGGAAATCACTTTCAATCACTTGGTAATGAAAAGTGGTGGGGACTTGGGGGCAGAGGTGGAAGAATTACTAAAATGGAAAAGTAGCAATACTAAAGGGTAAAAAATGCTCTATCGCAACTAAAGGTCCTGAATCACAATTATTATTTAAGAAAAAAATTCCAAAGTAGCCTATTGGCATCAAGTTATACTTAAAGTACCAAAAGTAAACGTACTCATTAGGCCTAAAGGACCAACATATGATACTGGGTTATGATCAGAGGAGGAGGAAGTACTCAGATCATTTTCTTTAGTAAAAGAAGCAATGCAGTAATGTCAAAATACTCCATTACAAGGAAAGGGTCCTACATTCTGAAGTAAACGTACAGTATTATCAAGAGAAAATTAATTGAAAGTATAAAAAGCATGTGTGATATATTATTATATATGACATTATTAGATTGTTAAAATTGTTGCATCAAGCTGTGTTTTACTGTTGTACACAAAGTTTTGTAATATATTATAAATAAATAGTTTTACTTTTTTGTACTGCTTGATGAATCATTATAAGGTTTATCAGATGTGTATTAATGCAACATCTTAAAGGTAACAAAGACTGTATAATAAATGGAGTTATTACATGGAAAGACTCAACAGTTGCCCCTTGCAATTGATACATGTTTTAATCTATTTTATTTTATAGATTGTTGAGTTATTGAAGCCTTCTTATCTTTCGAAATTAATCTTGACCTTAATTGTCCTTGTTCATACCAAGTCAATTTCATTCGTCTAAGTAATTGAAAATAATATACCATTTAATTCCACACTGTCCTGTCGCATGTGCAGACAACAAGCCTCCATTTTCTTGGAGATGGTTATTTTGCATATTTTCCGCTCGGGAGGATTTTCTGCCTATCCAAGGCTCTCTGTTTTCAGTAAGAAAATATGCAATTTATATCCATTGTTTTTCTTTGTATTTGATTAAAAAAAATATCCTGGTTTGCTTACGGTGTTGGTAACATTAGCTATGTTAACATGCAGCAGCTAAGTTAGCTTAAAGGTCCCCTATTATACTGTTTTTCATCAATATATTATAGGTCTCAGATATATACAAAACATGTCTCTGAAGTGTTTGGCTGGAAACACCAAACAGATCATTGCAGCATCCCATAATCCCTTCTGTTTCAGCCCTGTTTCAAAAGTGCTGATTCTCTGTCTGTTACTTTAGATGAAAATATGGAGCCCCTCCCCACGCCCCTCTGAGAGATATTTGGTTAAAAAGAACCCAGTGTTGCTCTAGTGCGGCTTTCACACCAGCGCTTTTCCCTTTCTAGCTCCGAGCTAGAGCTTTTCTGCTCCCGCTCTGTTCACACCACTCAGAGCCGGGATGGTGCTGCGTCATGACGTCACCGTTTACATCGCTGATTTGCTCCCCAACGGCGCTCACAACAACAACAACAACGGGGGACTGCGTCGGATCGATGATCGTGTTGCTTTTAATCATACGAAGCCAGATTAAATTAAATAACGACTTCTCCAACCTTATACTTTTCTCCAGAGTGCCGTGGTTCATTGTTTATTAATGTGTTTCAGCGGCATTTACCGACCGCTGCAGTGCTGGCTGCTCTTCCACGGGAGTTTATTCTCCCGTTAGCTCCGGGTTAGCTCACACGGCTCTAAAGTATTCACTGTCTGACTGTCACACAAGCAGCTGATACATATCCCCAGTCCCCCTTAAAGGGGACCTATCATGCAAAATGCACTTTTGTACGTCTTTTATACATGAATATGTGTCCCCGGTGTTCCAGGGAACTCACCAAGTGTCAGAAAACACAACCCTCTCTATTTTCCTCCATACCCAAATCTCTAAAAAAGGGGCTGCAACGGATCTGATACAGACTGATCCAGATTTGAACACTTCTATGTCGTCACAGAAGTGACGCTACGGCTATTGGGCCAACTCTCCACCTATCAGGGGAATGTGGGCTTGGGCCACGGCCGGCCATTGCCGCTCGAAAGCGCTGGAGACGCTGTAGTACATATGCCAGGCCTGTAAGTGGCGCTGTAGTCTGCCACAAAAGCAGCGAAGAAGACTTCCCGCCCATAGTTACCATGGTTACCCTTCTGTTTATTCTCCGCTGTGGCTTTTTTTCTCCCTCCCCGAGGCAAGCGTTTGCTCCTGCTGCTGTAATTCAATGCAATCCCTCCCCGTCGAGGCAAGCACTGTAATTCTCTCCGGTTAGTCCACCAGCAGATGACAAACACCCACCTCTCCGCCTCTTCCAAGGAACGAGGGGACCGTGCGGCAGAGGTTCAGTTTCAGTTTCTTTCGCCAGTCAAGATGTCCATTAAAGTTTCAATCTTCCGGACAAAATTAGAAAAGTGCCGGTCAAAGGTCTTCTTTGTTATTTATTGAGCTTTAAAACAAATGAATAACGACTCTATATAATAAAACAGGAGGACGGAGATCTCTTTTTCTCCCCCTCTTCTGACAGCCCAGCAGCTGATCAGAGCACGTCTCCCCTCTCCTGCAGGGGGGCGTGGTCAGCAGAATCAGACCCGTAGACAGCAAACAGCACATAGAGCGAAATGAGGCATGGCTAAAATGCATGATCTGTTTGGTATTTTGAAAACAGAAACGTATAAATATACCTTATATAGGTATGGCCCTACAATATATCATTTAAATATAGCATGATAGGTCCACTTTAAGTGAATGTGTGTCAGTCTGAATTGACGCTGTTTGGCATCACAACGCTGTTATGAAAGTTTCTCTGGTATAACATGGGTGATGTTAGCATAGCAACCGAAGCTAAACTGACTACTTATTATACATCCATGCATGAGACGCTACTCAAGATGGCGCAGACAAATCAACTTCCGGTGATACCGAGGACCGAGGAAATGAAAATAGTCGACCTGAGAAGGACCCATAGACTAACTTCTGTTAGGTCAATTAGTAGGTCTGAGTACTACCGGAATAAATTATCAGCCCTCCCGACTCCCAAGAGTTCTTACCAAATGTAAACATGTGTTTTTAATCTTGTCAGTGTTGTAATATTGGGACAGAACTAAACATGTGAAATCACGTTGAAAAAGGGATTTTTATCTCTTGGTGACAGCAACGGGCTAATGTTACCGCGGCTAAAGTTATATTCTTGGCTCCAAATGCAAACCGAACACCACAGAAAACTGCCGACTGCGTTGCCTTTCATTTTAAACAACAAGAATGCCACGGGGAATCCCACAGTTCCAGACAGTTAAACTTCTACCATGTCTGTGGAACTACAGTTAATGATTTCACTTTATCGTTGCAGATAGGCCTACTGTGTAGTTGACGATTTAGGTCTAGTTTACGCAAATAACACTTAGCTACAACATAAAGGAGGGACTGAAGGCACCAAGAAAAACAAGTTTAATTCACGATAAAAAAAGGAGAAATGCAAATGCTTGTTAAAAAAATGTGTTTTGCATGTAACGTGAGCAGCGGTTCTGCATTCACAACCACAATGTTCTGAAGAAGCGGGAAGAAAACACTGTTATCGTGGCTCAGCAAGCAAAACACAATTCTTAAGATCCGTATCAAACAATGAGTTATATGTCACTGCTCAACTTGAATGCTAAGTATTAACTTATATAAATATTATAGGACAAATGTGAATGGAAAAATACTTATACCTGTACAGGGTAAAAATAACAGGCACAGTACTCGTGTAAAGTTTGTGGTAAAACTACCTGCATTTCGTGTTGGCTTGGTTATATCTCAGACATTATTTTGTTTCTGCAGTGGACTGCATTATTAAAAAACGGTATTATTCTAAGACATTGTACAGGGATTTATGTTCTATGTTTTGTTGTACAAATAATGAAAGTTCAATCAAGAAACCATATCTCTGCTTTCTTCTTAAGTTATTGCAATTCATTCCATAAACCTTATTATCCCCTCTTATTTAATTACATTCGTTCATCATAGAAATATCACACTTGACAGAAAATATTCCAGCAGTGAGAATAAATAAGTAAATAAATAAAATGATTATACTTGAACATTTATTACATGTCTGTCAGTCGGGTCCTACAGTACCATCTTAATCTGTAGGTTGTGGCATATAGTAACAATAAGGTACTTAATAAAAAAAAGACTTGAAATGATCACAAATGAGTTTGTAGTGATCTGATATGAGTTGTTCTGTGTTGAAAGAAGTTAGTAGTTGTTGGATAATATCAATTTCTTTCAACACTTTTTTTTCTAATTTATGCTAATTCTAAAGTCATGTTTTTCCATGATTTTCCTGATGTTGCTGTGATGCCTAACATAACCTTACTCTTTGAGGACGTCATGTTTTTTTCGCTGGTCACGTCCTTACTCTTCAACTTTTGAACAGAATATTAGGAGTTTTGTTCAGTTGATTCTGCCTATTATGACATTCCCTGGCCTAAACTATGAGTGACACTTTCCAGTTCATGTGGCAGGGTAAAGACAGGGGTGCTTAAGTGTCTAGGCGAACAGAACTTCTTGAACATTACAGACTAGAAGAGAACTAGAAGGCTAGTTTTGTTGATCAGGTGCTCCGTAAGATACCAAGATGCATCATCTACTTACTATACAGAGAATATTTGAGTCAAGATTTATTGGAATTCCACAATTTTTACTGTCAATGCGTCCCTTGAAATGTATCTTAGTATCAATCACTGCTTATTTAATTTCAGGTTGGCATATCAGGACGGGATCGGGCTAAAATCCTGAGGGGGCGATGGGAAAACTCCCACCCACTCACCACAGAGACTGCTGACCTCCACAATATCATTGATGGCAAAGTGGTGGATTGAAAGGTGAATGTGTAAGATGAATTGAAAATCAGACAGGACAGGAGCACACTGTTCTTTTCATCGCTTCCTGAGGGATTTCATGCTCCCATCTCCAATAAGGTGGTGAAGTTCAGGACTAAAGGAGTGAAGGTCAATGGAAAGATCATATATGACCTTGAGGCTTTGTTTGCTCAGCTACTGGTGGGGGGCAAAAGAAGAATGGCGCTCTCTGCCCTCTTTGACTACGAGCTCAGACAGACATCATCATTGATGTTAAAAAGTGAACAAGTCGGTGTCGTCCAGCGTCTTGGAATGGTCTCACAGCCCTTAAGTACTTAATCATTACACTACACAAACATCTGACATCTTTGACCAGTCTGAGCAAGTTTCTGCCAAAGTCCAAGAGAGGCAAAGAACAGCCAGGGACGACTCAAGAGTCTCACTGACAACTCCTCGACCTAGACAACACAAAGGGATGAAAAACAAGACAAACGAAGAGGAGGAAGTTTACATGATCTGCCAATTCTGATTGGCAGATCACAGAGGCTGGGAGGGTCTTCTTCCTGGCTCTATACAACAAGAGAAGGTTGGCATCTCTGAACATTGCCAGTTATGACATATACCGAAAGTGTAATACCCTCCCCATGACAGGTGATGCTTTGGAAAGCAGCAGACCGCCCTGATCCACCAGCTGTGGACAAGCTAATAGGTACATAAATACATATTTTAAAAAAAACTCATAAATATATACAGTATGTTCATTCAGAGAAATATGTAATATGACTAGATTTATCTTCGGGGAGAAAGGCATTCAAATTAAGTATCACATGCCATTTTAGTTTTCTCCCATCTCCTTTAAATATACAGGACAGTGAAGAGACATCCACTGTGGGCATATACTGTATGTATTCCAATAGGGGGGTGAAGAAACTGGATATCCATGCACTGAACTTAGCTAACCCAAAACTACTTAGATACTACCAATTTGTTCGGAAGGTGCTCTTGCAAATGGTGAACGGCTTTCCCCCAAAGTCCTTGGACTGGAGAACAAAATAAATCCTGGCCTGGATATCTTCCTGTGCTTTACAAACTGCTGCCATTTAAGCATTCAGAAGAAGAGGGTGCAATGAAACGACATGACGCCAGTAAAGATAGTGCCGTCTTTGCTCCACACTGATCTTATGATATTACAAAGAAAGTTAAACTAAAATAAAACATTTTGAGAGAAATATGAAACAAGACACCGACACAGAACATGTCTTCTATGCCTTGACCATGCCGTGGTTCCAGCTGCTGTAGAACTAAATGATATTGCAGTTTTGGGGGCCTCAGACGTTCCCCTGCGTCAATAAGAGTGATGCTTCAACCTCTATTGTAAATCATGTTAGAAATGTTGGTATTTCTAAATCAAAGAATTTAACAAAGAAGAATGTTTTCACTTTACATTTGAATTTAATCTGCATGTGCTGAAACAAATAATAATTCTACATTCAGTATGATCACACCACTCCAGATGTGGCACTTACAGATGGGATGTTAGAAACAAAACTGGACAAACCGTGAAAAAATGGTTTGGAGCAACAGAAATAGTTTTTATTTGCATGACAATTAACTCAAGTGTCTTCTCCAGTAGTGCTACAGAAGAGGTAACGGGTGCTTTACTAAAGGTTCCTTTTCATAACTGAACATCCCATCAGATCAAAAATATAAATCAAGTTAAATAAAGTTTTGCTGATCTTAGAATATCCCAAAATACTGTGGCTGCAAGAAGAAACTCTGTTAGTAAAGGGAATAGACAATAAGCTAATATTTTAAATCTGTTCAGCATAAATCAGAAATCCTCCAGTGTGAAAGGACTTTCTCCATTTCTTTACACGGTTAGCCTGTTTTACATTGGACAACACATTTTAAACTGTGGTGTGTCAAGCAATCTTCCCTAACAGTATGTTGATTCTTTTGTTCCTGTGAACATGTTTTAAATGATGGAATGTATGTATACTATGATTCCATCATGCAGCTTCATAATACAAGGAGGGAAATAAACAAGTGAGAGAAGGAAGCTAAAATGTAAATAGGGTGTCATTCAGAGACAAAAAGGATTATATTGAGAGGAGTTACACTGGGTTATTCCTCTCTGAGTCCATTGAGTTCCAAAACAACTGGTTATGAAGTTTGTCTCAATTTGTCATTTGCTGAACACCTTAAGTAGTCTGTATTTATACAGTACTTTGTAGTATTTACAGTCACTCAGTCAGCATTCACACGTTCTCAGGTAGAGGCTTCCTGCGAGGTGCCACCTGCTCCCCAGGAGAGATCAACATCACTTGCCCATTATCGGCCGTGGCATCAGGCTCCGTTTGTGGTTCAGATTGGCAGACGACCCTGCTGAGTGACAGACACCACATAAGTGTTTCTTTAAGTAAAACACCCACAGGTTTAACGGAATGTTCTCTTCACTGGGAAGCTGAGCAGGTGAGTCTTGACTTTGGGCCTGTGCCCAATGTCATTTCAATCGTTTCCAATGAGGAGAGTGGGTATGACGCCAAAATATTTTCGGTACGTTTCAGAAGAAAGCTGGTGACATCACAGTAGAAGCTTGTTTTAGGCTGTGTCTTTGAGACATTACAAAGACCAAAAGGCCCATTTATTTGAGCAGATGGTCTGAGAAGACCCTGGATGTTGCTGCCAGTGAGTGTTGTGCTTCTGTCGCCTTGCTCTGCGGCTGTCAGACTGAGCGCTGAAGCTCCTTCATTCCAAATATGAGAGCAAGAATCTTCTCGTGGAAGTACATGGTAAAAAAACATTTTAAACAAATATATTGTGGCACAAACCCGTTATAAAATCCAACGGGTCGATGCTAGTCCGTCATACAACAGCGGTGATGAGTTGTCCAGATACAGTTGTGAAATTAACAATTTAAAATAAACGCTGTGATTTGTTTTGGTATGGAACGCCAGGAGTAGGCTCTCCTTATTGTCCGGCCATGCTGCTTTTTGACAGAAGATGCTCCATGTGGCCACAGGCTCCTGCTCAGCTGAGGGCCTCGGGGCAGGGCTGCAGGGCCCTCAGGATGTGCTCCAGACTCCACTGCTCCTCCTGCAGGGCGTGCTCCTCCAGGGTGAACTGGCCCTGCTTGGTCCGGGTTAGCTCCTTCACATGAGCACATGACGACAGAGCTGCAGCACACAGGGACACAGGTGTTAGCAGGGCTGGTTTCTGATTGATTAGTCAACTACATCACATCAGTCCAGTTCTGAAGTCTTTACACTGGCTTCCTGTGTGTCAAAGAATTGATTTCAAAATATTGCTGCTGGTTTATAAAGCATTGAATTACATGACATGTCACTTGTTAGACGCTTTTATCCAAAGCGACTTACATACTCAATACTGTGGACAATCCCCACAGGAGCAATTTGGGGTGAAGTGTCTCAGGGACACAACGACATGCTGACTGCAGTGGGGTTTGAACCTGTGCGTCCCTGATCCGAACACCAACACTCTATCCACTGCGCCACACGCCTCCCTATGGCGAATGGTTTAGGCCCAAAATACATTTCTGACCTACTGCTAAATGATGAACCATCCAGAACTCTCAGGTCTTCTGGTCAGCTTTCTGTCCCCAGAGTCAGAACTAAACCTGGAGAAGTTCAGTTATGATGCTCCAAATATCTGGAACAAACTACCATGCCGCTTTCACAACAGCGTTTTTCCCTTTCTAGCTCCGAGCTAGAGCTTTTCTGGTTCAGCTCCGGTTTCCCTTTTCTGCTCCCGCTCTGTTCACACCACTCAGAGCCGGGATGGTGCTGCGTCATGACGTCACCGTTTACATCGCTGATTTGCTCCCCAACGGCGCTCACAACAACAACAACGGGGGACTGCGTCGGGTCGATGATCGTGTTGCTTTTAATCATACGAAGCCAGATTAAATTAAATAACGACTTCTCCAACCTTATACTTTTCTCCAGAGTGCCGTGGTTCATTGTTTATTAATGTGTTTCAGCGGCATTTACCGACCGCTGCAGTGGCTGCTCTTCCACGGGAGTTTATTCTCCCTTTAGCTCCGGGTTAGCTCACACGGCTCTAAAGTATTCACTGTCTGACTGTCACACAAGCAGCTGATACATATCCCCAGTTCCCCTTAAGTGAATGTGTGTCAGTCTGAATTGACGCTGTTTGGCATCACAACGCTGTTATGAAAGTTTCTCTGGTATAACATGGGTGATGTTAGCATAGCAACCGAAGCTAAACTGACTACTTGCTAAGCCGTTTTATACAGGCCCATTTTACCGGCGTATTTTTCATTATGATTCTACTTGTGATAGTCGGACATGACAACCTGTACAGCCCATGTATTGATTCCATCCGATAGCTGCTATAATAACAAACAAAACGTCTGCCTGCTCTCCACAATGATCAATAACAGCGAACGGATGGTCAAAGTAAGGTACAAATAAACAGAATCACACGAAGCCTGGTTAGTGTTGCCTGACTTTATAAAGTGTGTTTTTTTTTTATAAGTGTGGTTGCCTTCTAGTCACTTTGCTCAGCGCTACTGCTTGTAGGCAGGCATGACGAGACTCTTCAGTCGACCCATGTTCAGGAGAGGTGGGTTTAGTTTCCTGCACGCCTCGACGTAAGAGAGACGTAAGCGCCGCCGCCTCTTAGCTCCGAAGCTCTTGCTTCTAGACCGACAATTTTTTGGAGCTGGAAACGAACTGGATTCCGGAGCTAAGAGGCGGCGCCGCTGCGGTGTGAACAGGAAAAAACGGTACTTTTCAGGCTCCAGCTCCGAGCCTGCGCTGAAAACGCGTTGGTGTGAAAGGGGCAACAGAAACCTGCAGGTCCGATGCGACTTTTACTACTTTTAAATCCAGGCTGAAGACTTTTCTATTTGCCGCTGCTTTTAATTGAAATATTCCTATCTTACACTGCACTGTAAATTGTATTCATGTATATTTTTTTAATGTTTATTTTATTATCTTGACTGTTTAAATGCCATTTTCTTAATGTCTTTCATTTTTGTAAAGCACTTTGAATTGCCTTGTGTTGAAAGGTGCTATATAAATCAACTTGCCTTGAGGAGTAAATGATTGAATCTCACCTTTTCCCAGGTCATCCACCAAACTTCTGACATAAAATCCACCACCGCACTCAATATCTGTTAGAGAAACAACATGTGGGAAATAAAAAAGGGAAAAAGAAGGAAATGACATTAGATAGCAGAAAGTCATAAGTCAGTATTGCGGAGATGAAGAGAGCGTGTGCTGACCCAGGGTGAAGAGCGGGGGGGTGAACTCCTGCAGGGTCAGGTTGTACACGGTGACAGCCCGCGCTGGTTTGGCCTCCACCTTGTGGCCCTTCATCAGCAGGGCAGACAGGCGCTGGCCGTCCCTCTTCAGTGCAGAGTAGCTGGGATGACAGAAATGTATAAATCACATCATGCTGAAGGGATGAGCAGCAATTAGAACATATCAAATACACATTTTAAAATCCTTCAACTAGTATACGAAGCTCTGAATGGTCTAGCATCCTTTTATGTCCTCTATCGGTTATACCCCTGATCAAACCCTAAGGTCCTCTGCAGCAGGCTTTTCAAATATTCCCAAAATTCCCCCCAAAAAACACCTAACCTGAAACTATACGAGGGTGAAAGAGCTGGAAACGTACTTTGATCAATTAAACGATCTGTATTTATTTATACAGGCATTTGTTTTGCATTTATATTTCTAAATGCATAGTATTTCTTAATTGTGTCTTCTTTCTGTCTTGGAGTGAGTGAGTTATGTGTCCTTTCCTATATTTGATTGTTTTTAATCTTCTGCTTCCCATACTTTTGGGGAATGATGTTTGTATCATGTAAACGTGCTGCATGTGTGATCATGTGTTTTAGCCTCTGTCTTAAATTGAATGTGTTATTTTCTGTTGCAAAAAGTGCTGGACAAATAAAGCTTATGACTATTTACAGAGTTACATGTAGCTAAATGAAGGGATCCTGCTGGTGGCAGGAGGTATTCAGTTTCACAATACAAATCTAAAGTGTGACCTCTAGAGGTCACACTTTAGAGGTCACACAATGACTGAGCAAATCAGTCATTATTTAATTTAATCTGGCTTCTAATAGGTTCACATCTATTCTTCTGATGGTTTCATCTATTCTTAGAGACTAGGCAGAGTTCAAAACACTCATTACTCCTATCAAAATCTGAAATGATATTTCTGTGGAATCTTGAATATCTTTAGCAGCATTTTACACAGGAAATGAAGTCCTGTTTACATCAAAAAATAATAATAGGGCAATTTATTTGCATGCCGTATGTGAATTTAAATTAATGTAAAAATATACTTGCGTAAGTAAAGTAAATGTTGGCCGAGAGAGTTGTGCACTAGGTCGCCATAGTCAATAGGTGCGTCTTTGTTTTAGTACAACATTAATGTGTAAATATGTTTATGTCTTATCTATAAGACAGTAGTCCAGACTCTAGAGTACAGTCCCACTTTTTTTCTTACGGGGACAATAAAGTATATCATGACGTATTGCATATAAGGCTCTGCAGCAATGCAACATTTATTACATCTGCTTCACGTTCAGTTTTCTCCAGTGATAAGAAAACTCATGAAGGGTCTATGGTCTATAGCAGGGGTATTCAACTAAAATTCAACGAGGTCCAGTTAGAGAAAATCTCCCCATGCAAAGGTCCGGAACATCAAAATGTCTAAGTTGCTTTATGAATTAGTGTGATATATATTGAAGTAACTGTAGCTTTATCAACATCTGCATGTAATCAACAACTGACTGCCAATCAAATAAAGAAAGTACAATTCATAAACAACAATATTTATTGTCAATTAACATTGAACTATACAGATATACAGTAAATACTGTGGATATGTGTAATGTTCCTCTCGGGCTGCATTTAAAAATAAAATAGAGAAAATAAATAAAATAGCTTTTGAAAATGTGTGCATCTTAAAAGTGCTTAATTTGAGATCAATAAAATAAAGTGTAGCAGCAGCTTGCGTTTCCCTTTTTCTTTGTTAACCGTTTCACATCATGACTTAACAGTTTCCGCCGATTATAGAACAATATCAGTCTTTACACATCATAACAATTGAACAGTTTTAAAGTTTCTCTTTCTTTCCCTCTTATATTGCAGTCCCTCACTCACTTTTTATTAATTCAGTGCGAGAATTGAGCTTGAGCTTGTCCTGCCAGGAGTTTAGATCTGGGCTGAAATGGTGTCAGGGCCATTCTCATACACACATGCAGGTGCTCTTTGGTTAGCCTCGGTTAGCCTGCCCTGGAACCATATTTAGTTTTAATTTTGATCCTGGTGGACTGATCATATTTAGCTCTGAGACTGCTTATTTTTTGTGACCTCAGTTCTGACTTGAGAGGGAATGTTTGGTCAAACACTTTGTGTTTTGTCTCATAGTGGCGTTTTGGCACTTTTAATGAGCGCCACGGTCTCTGAACAAATGAGACACACTGGTTCTGTGCTCCCAGTGGGCAGGATGAACATGAATGAGTCCACTCAGGGTTAAAAGCTCTGTTCTCACTTTCCTCTTCTTGGAGAGCGCCATGTGTCATTATTTTCCTCTCCCTGTCTGCCGCTAACACGCATGTTCACTCTCCTCTCCGCTTCTCTCCCTGTATCGCTAATTATTCTCTTCACTCACTTTCCTCTCCGCTTCTCTCTGCCGCGCTCTCATCTCTTCTTCTATGTTTCTCTCCCTGTCGCTCACTCGTCTCTTTCGCCCCCTGTCGGCGGCGGTTAAAATAGAATCGCCCCGTCAAAATTGAAATCCCCTATTAATGTATTGATTATAGGTCCGGGTCCGTATAGGTCGGCGTCTGGGTCCGGATTCGGACCGCGGTCCGCCTGTTGCAGACCCCTGGTCTATAGTCTAGGGTCTACATTACTTTAGGAGCATGAATATGAAGGGTCTATGGTGGCTACATTACTTTAGCTGGTCAGCTTTCTGTCCCCAGAGTCAGAACTAAACCAGGAGAAGTTCAGTTATTATGCTCCAAATATCTGGAACAAACTAACAGAAACCTGCAGGTCCGACTTTTACTACTTTTAAATCCAGGCTGAAGACTTTTCTATTTGCCGCTGCTTTTAATTGATATACTCCTATCTTACACTGCACTGTAACTTGTATTTTTTTTTTATGTTTATTTTATTATCTTGACTGATTTGAAATGCCATTTTCTTAATGTCTTTCATTTTTGTAAAGCACTTTGAATTGCCTTGTGTTGAAAGGTGCTATATAAATAAACTTGCCTTGAGGAGTAAATGATTGAATCTCACCTTTTCCCAGGTCATCCACCAAAGGATGACCTGAATATGAAGGGTCTATGGTGGCTACATTACTTTAGGAGCATGAATATGAAGGGTCTATGGTGGCTACATTACTTTAGGAGCATGAATATGAAGGGTCTATGGTGGCTACATTACTTTAGGAGCATGAATATGAAGGGTCTATGGTGGCTACATTACTTTAGGAGCATGAATATGAAGGGTCTATGGTGGCTACATTACTTTAGGAGCATGAATATGAAGGGTCTATGGTGGCTACATTACTTTAGGAGCATGAATATGAACAGTGAAAGGCATTTCTTTCTGCTCATTAGATCAGCAGGTTGAACCCAGTTTACACTAACATGTACAAATGTAACTGCTGTGACTACATCTTCTCAGATAGGAGGCTTCACTCACAGTGGAGGAACTTGCATGATGTCACCAGTGAACGTTTTCAGTTTCTCCTCAACTTCCAACCTGGTTACGTGTTCTGTGGACAAAAATCTTATAAACATATTTCACTGTTTATATGAAAAGTGCAAAAAGGGGGGGGATAACAACCCAATAGACTGCTGAATTGGGATAACTGTTCCTTTTAAATTATTATACATAAATAAAATCAATATTTACCAAAGTCTTTCTCCAGCACCACACTGCCAGCGGCATCAAGAGTGTCTGTTGCTTTGCCCAGTTGCCCTACAGCAACATATTTCTGAAAAACAAACAGCGCACATCACTATTAAACATTTCATGCTACTCATTCTAAATACCTCATATTAGGTCAAACGGTAATGCACTAGTTAACCCAGTTTATCTTTACTTGGTATAATATACCTATAATATCTTTATATAAAATGATATGAATATCTGGTAGGGTTTAAATTACTTTTCACAGTAATAGTCAGAGGTGGGGACTCGAGTCACATGACTTGACTCGAGTCAGACTCGAGTCGCATATTTTTTGACTTGAGACTTGCTTGACTAACATTGATAAAAGACTTGACTTGGACTTGGTATTCATGACTTGAGACTTGACTTAAGCTTGAGACAGATGACTTGACTGTTTAAAATTAAATATTTGCGTTTGTTTTTGTAGTGAGATATTACGTTTAGTTTTTTCGAAAAATGTGATTGGGTGATTATAGCGCCGTGCGCGCAAACCTGGCAACCCACTAGACGGCAGGAGTGTCAGTTAACATGGCAGCGGCTAGCGTTACTCCAAAAATAGTCAAGTTTGGATTCAAGGGTTATGTTGTCGATGACGCTAATAAGAAGAGAACAGCGGTATGCAGGGTCTGCAGCATAAAGATCAGTGACACGACCACCACAACATCCAACTTCATTCGTCACTACAAAAAAACCCACAGAGAAAGGTGCGTGAATGTGTTGTGTTAGCTAGAAAGCTAACGTTAAGTTTAAGCTACGTTAGACTTGGTTTCAAATCGATTAAGCATTGCAAAGAGAAGACAAAACGGTAAATGAACACTAGAACCGCCAAGGGATTCATTTGGACTAACCCTGATACTGACGGGCTGTCAGGAGAGGGAGAGGGAGAGGGAGAGAGAGAGAGAGAGATGCCTCGTTTATTTCCCCTGTGTTATTATCAGAAGTTACTGTAAACTGTTGAATAATGTAGTTCATCTACTTTTAGTAGTTTGTTTAAATGTTTTAATTATGTTGTTTTTGTTTGTAGAAGTGCATCATTCCTTGATTTATTGTAAAATGAATCTGAACTTTTTGATCTGTTATGATGATAAACTGAAGCAATTTCTAAATTAACCCAATTAAGTGAGTTTTAAATCCTAGCTATATTGTCTGCAGTTCTAGGGTTAATATTAATCTAATATGATTGTCATCGGTCTAAATTAGATTTCAAATGATTAACTGTGTATGTAATGAAGATCATAGTGTGGGTTGATCCATTTTCATAACCACTGTCTTTTAACTGATTTAAATGCGGAAACTGGGCTTATTCATCAGAATTTCGTATGACTTGACTTGACTTGCTTGACCTGAGCAATGACTTGACTTGACTTGCTTGACTCTCACCACAGTGACTTGGGACTTGCTTGATACTTGTAGGTCAAGACTTGAGACTTGCTCATGACTTGCACATGTAGGACTTACTCCCACCTATGGTAATAGTAGAGTTTTTTTTCTAAAGTTATGAAATAAAACTAGGGATGCTCCGATCGATCGGTCACCGATCGAGATCTGCCGATACTCACTCTCTACCGATCGATCGGTGCTCTCTAAACATGCCGATCGCGAGGGCCGATCGCATGACGTAAAATACATGACACTTTTCTCTGTACGCGGCAAAACAAGCTCGCCAAAATGGCTTCACCGGTCTGGCATTATTTTAAGGTGTCCGAAAAAGACAGTAAAATAGCGGCATGCAACGTGTGTGTGAAGCAGAAATCCTGCAGCTCCACCCGCTGTGACGGAGCGGTGAGCGGAGCGAAACACACAAGAGTTAGACCTAACACACTTAGCTATTTTATCTACCTCTGGAACAAGCTAAACTAGTTATAAATATGTTTATTCTTCACTGTCGGCCTCACACATTACTGGATCAGCGAGCTGCATGAGACGATACTGACGGGCTGTCAGGAGAGGGAGAGAGGGGGAGAGAGGGGGAGAGAGAGAGGGAGAGAGAGGAAAAGAGAGCGCTTGCTAATTTCTCCCGTGGTATTATCCAAAGTGAATGTAAACTTGAATAATATACATAATTTGAATGTAATAATTAAGTTGATTGTTGTTTGTGGAAGCTCCAGTGAATGAGCCCCATTAACTGAGTTTTAAACATCACTTTAAATGGAAGATTTAAAGTGATGTTTAAATCTTCCATTTAGGCCCCGCCCACTCGATCGGATCGGCGATCGGTATCGGCAGATACTGATTCCGGCGATCGGCCCCAAAATTGGCGATCGGAGCATCCCTAAATAAAACCATGTTAAAAAATGTGGACTTTTCCTGACCATCATATCATACCGTTTTTCTTTGTGGTAACAGAATCATAATAAACTAAAAATGAAAAATCGTTGCTTAAAAGCAAGTATTATTCTAAAAACAATGTTGAGATCCACGAGCCTTATTGATTTTAGGGTAGAATAATAACAGAATCATCAAAATAGAAACACACAGTGTGTTTAAACTGAACGATTGCCCAGTGGTGTTATGAAGCTCTTCAAAGCATTGTTCAATTCATACATTGACTTGAAACATTTGCATAAGTGTAGGTGAACTCACCTTAGAGCCAGCCAACATCGTAGTGAGCATCTTTGTCCCGTTCCCAACCCCAACCACTGCAGGGGACAGAGACACAGTGTTCCACTACACCCACCCTGATGGTTGCACGCATTTTACAGCCTTACCAGTCATGGCTCTGGGAATATGTTACCTATTTTATTACATCCCAACCATGCTTTCAGAGGGGACTGGTACTGTCCAAATTCAGGAGGAGGAGCAACCAAATATAATCATCATTTTGTATTAATCTGCCACACGTTTGGCCTGTAAAAGCAACTACAAAGTCCATCCCAAGTTCAAAGTCTAAGATAATTTCTTCAAAATATATATATATGTTAGTATTTGAGTGTAGTACAGTCATGGACCAAAAACTACTTCTCTTCAAATTAAGAACTCTTTCCTTATTCCAAAACTAAGGTGTAGTCTAATTCCTGAAACCGACCCTTAGACATTGAATTGGGAAACATGAGATAGAGGACACAGAGTACATTACATTTATATTGTTATTATCATCAGAACAATATGACTTTGTTGATGGTATGCATCAGTTATGTTCAACGTATTCCTTTCCTCAAATTGCATAATATGCTTCACATGGTTGTTTAATCTTCTAACTTTTGTACCACCTTGTACACTGTACTTTGATATGGTCATGCCAATTGAGCTTCTCTGAATTTGAGTAGCTCATAGTCACAGATATTGATTGCAACAGTCCAGGCAATGAAAATAACAATTTAGAAGTCTTCATTTAGGTGGCATTCCTCTGATATATTCCTCTGTTTATTATCATATATATATATATATATATATATATATATATATATAGGTTCCACTATCAGAGGAATGCCACCTAAATGAAGACTTCTAAATTGTATATATATATATATATATATATATATTGGTTATTAAAGAGGAATGCCACCTAAATGAAGACTTCTAAATTGTTATATATATATATATATATATATATATATATATTAGGGCTGTCAGTCGATTAAAATATTTAATCGCATGATGTCCATAGTTAATCGCAAATTAATCGCACATTTTGTATCTGTATTTTTCAAGTTTTTAATACTCTTATCAACATATGAGTGGACAAATATGCATTATGCAAATGTTTGTTTATTATCATTGGAACAATGACAAATATTCTCCTGAATATTCTCAACACAACCACCTGGAACCTCTCTCTCTCTCTTACACTCTCTCCCAACCCTGTGTACTTCTTTGCACTGAGCCAGTTGCTCAAACAGACAAGCCTGTTTACAGTTGTCGGCGAAATGCCGCTCCTCTGTCTTCATAACAGTCAAAGCATGAGACTGAAGTTCCCACTGTGGGTCACAATAATGCGCTGTGATGTGCAGTCGACACGTTGGATGCGATCCGAATGATCTAACGCAGCCCCTCGTCCTCCACAATGTTAAGCTGTAGCCACCCATTTAGCTATCGCTGTTGTTGTCCAGGCGTCTCCCCGGCAAACTTAGAAGCGCAAGCGAGCGGCAGGAGCGGGGCTGTCGGCATCAGAATCAGCTGTGTGCTTGGCTTGCTGTTTAAAACACCTTTTTTTGTATCCATATCTCTCGCTAGAATCTCCCACCATCCAACTAATAACAACAACAACAACGTCAAGCCTTTGGGCTCTGAAACTACGGGGCGGGCCGAGGACAAATACACATGCGTTAATCGCACGTTAAAATAATTAGTGGCGTTAAAAAAAACGCGTTAACTTGACAGCCCTAATATATATATATATATATATATATATATATATATATATATATATATATATATATATATATATATATATATATATATATATATATATATATATATATATGCACTTGGAGAAATATAACAAAGTACATCAGTATTTCCTTCCATGTTGAGTGTAGGTGGAAATCTCTTGTGCTCCACTACAACCATGACTGTAACGGGCCGTCTCCACGGCAGCGTTAAAAAATCTTGAAACGCTTCTGCCCATTCACTTTGAATGGGGTGACGTCACTTTTTTTCGCTTTCGCCGAAATGCATTGTGGGCAGGCGAGCGGAGATTCTCAGGATTTTCAAGATCCAAAGTTGAACAATGTTCAACTTTTGAAGCTGAGGAGGAAGCGTCAGCCAATCAAATCCCGTGTACGCAAATCTGACAGTTCAAGCTCTAGCCAATCAAACGGCGTGTATGCTGGGAGAGACAGACCGCAGGTCATTTCCTCATATTCCAAAACATGGAGGAGAAATTAGCGGTAGCGAATCAATCACCCGGTGCTTTATGACCAGACCTACCGGGATATAAACCGGAGGAGCCAGGCATGGAGGGAGGTGGCAGAGACAGTGGTATGTTTTCGCCTGTTTTGGGGAGTTTATATCCAGTTTACTTCGGGCTTTTTGGCTTCATATGTCGCGGGCGGGAGATTCATGTGATTGGTTGATCGCAAAAAAATCCCCAAGCCTCAGATACGCCCACCTCCAAGACCGTAACGGGCCGTCTCCACGGCAGCGTTAAAAAAAATCTTGGAGGTGGGCGTATCTGAGGCTTATACACAATGCATTTCGGCGAAAGCGAAAAAAAGTGACGTCACCCCATTCAAAGTGAATGGGCAGAAGCGTTTCAAGATTTTTTAACGCTGCCGTGGAGACGGCCCGTAACACAACCAGAGGCAGAATGACAACAGTCACACGTGGAGCAACACTCTGTTATGTAAATGGGACGACCTCTTACCCAGAACCCCACACGCGTTGCTGTCCAGCGTTCCGCCGTGCCCCATCTTCAGGCTCTGCTTCTTCCTCTTCCGCGAGTTTGGGTTTTCGACACCAGCCTCTGGAAGACACATGAAAACAAACCGCTTCACTATCAGCTTCAACAGACACACAGTCCCTGTATTTCCAGATTCCCACCTCTGTGGAATTACCCCTGAGTAAAACTTCTTTGAGAGAGTTCAGCACGTTTGCTGAAGTCGGCCCTTGTTTTTTATATATCGCAAACAATCCATTTAAAGCCTGTAGTTTAGTTAAGGAACTATTGCTGCTGATGATTCTTGCCATGCTTGTTTTTTTTCTTCTTCATGACATGTGATACTCTTCTTCTTCTACGGTTTCTGGTTCAGTTACCAGCTGCGAACCGTTCGCCCCCTGCTGGTGCATCATTATTTCTTGTTTGGGCTCCAAGCCGAAACAGCGTTGTTGTTGTTTTTATCAGAGGTGGAAGAAGTACTCAGATTATTTACTTAAAAGTAAAAAAAGTATCAGCATAAAAAATACTTTAAGTACCAAAAGTAAAAAAAAAAAATGCATTATGCAAAATGAGCAATTTAAGTGAATAATATTATTTGTTGGTGTATTAATGTATTAGTAATGGTAGTTTAATTTATAATAATATATAATAATGTCTGTCGATTTGAATGTTATATTAATCAGCTACATCTGCAAAGTAACTATAACTAAATCCATTTGCCCACCAAATGTAGTGGAGTAAAAACATAAAGTAGCATAATGTGAAACATTGAAGTAAAGTACAGGTACCTCCGTTTTACCTCAGCACAGTAGGCCCTACTTGAGTAAATGTGTGTTGTTACATTACACCACTAGTTTTTATTATATAACATCATATTCAAATATTGCTTATTAAGGTTGATTAAGTTAAACCTACATTAAATTAAACTTAATCAACATTCAATCCAACGTAATCAACAGCTAACAGCGTACATCAACTAAATACGTTTAATTTAGAGAAATGGAAAATGCTCACGTTATCAAAACTACATTGACCAAGATGCTTTGCGCCGATGTACACTTCCTGGTTACTTTGTCGCTTGGCTTCCTTTGCCTGTCAGCTGTACTGTCTACGACAACAATAACTGCCAGGAAGATATTGGAAGATACTTGTGCTGCAGTCTCTGAGGTTTGTGAGGGTTTTACCTGAAGATTACTTTGTTATTTATTCAGCTAAACTCCCTCAGGCTTCCGTAGTTTACAGGACGGTTATCCATTTGAAAGCGCTGCACGAGTCTGCTTTTACTCGCTCCCGACACTCTCATTCAACATTTGGCTATTCAAGTTTACTTGCTTATCTCCACGATGCAGCTATTGTATAATAACAATTAATACATTTTCTAAAACTATGGAAGCAATATGTCAGTTCGGCTCACACATTAGGATGTATTTCATTCAGTGTTGTGCGTTGTTGTGATGTGGACTTCCTTCCGACTACTATCAAACATAACAGTCCAAGCACTTCTTAAAGTTAGAATTCATATTAAGTTATGATCTTAGGTCAGATATTGCCGAACTGATGAGGTGGATCTAGTGGTGTAGGGTGCATTGTAATTGTTATGTTACAGTGTACGTGTTCATGATGTAGGCTACTCTAAACTACTGTAGTGTTTCTTGACTTGAGGCTGTCATACTTTCAAGAAAAGTGTCAGTTCTTAGCACAGGGCCGTCCCTCCCTACAGGCCGATCACGCAGACTGCGTGGGGCCTCAACTGAGCTGAAAATGCGGCACGGTTTCGCGGCTGCTAGGCTCCATATTCTTTTATCATTAATCCATATCTGCAAGGCAAATAAAGGTACTACATAAATGTGGTGGTGTAATAGTACAATAAATACCTCTGATTCTGAATTGTAGTGGTGTAGAAGTACTACGCAGCATAACATGGAAATACTCAAGTTAAGTAGCCTACTGTACCTATGAATTTGACTTAAGTACAATACTTGAGCAAATGTACTTTACAACACTGCAAAATAGTATTCATGCTGTCCATCACAGTGGACGCAGTAACTCAGGATACTGTCAGTTCCTCACTTGTGTTTATCCGATTCAGCGTCCATATATTTCCATGGAAATTATCATTCCCTATTATTTTGCAAATCATATCGCAATTGCATTGTCAATACAAAATTATGGCAATAAGTACATTTTCCCCAGATCATGCAGCCTTAATTAATTTATCAGTCTTGTTTTGTCTACCCTCCAGTCCAAAACCCAATAATATTCACCTTACAATCCCACCAGTCATAGAAAAGCACCAAATCATCACAGTCCAAACGTTACTAGAGCATGGCTGGCTTTGTGGCTTGAAAATTGACATGGTCTTTCAATGAATAATTTCACTCCTAATTCACTCTTTTCTTCTCCAGAGGAAGGAAGGAAGACATTAAGAGATTGTTGGACAACTCAGATGAAAAGGAGCGAGTGGTGATGCACAATGGAGGATTTCAGGCGGACATACCTTCGTCTGTGTAAGGAGAGCGGTGTGGAGCCTCAGGAGAGCGTGGTGGGCCGGCTCCAGGGGGGGGGGGCTCAGGGGTCCAGCCTGGACCTGAGTGGACAGAGCCTGTCTGCAGAGACCTGCTCCGTGCTGGCCAGGGCCTTCCAAAGAGACACCGTCTTCACAGAGGTGCTGCTCAGTGACTGTATGCTCAGCGAGGAAGGTGCGTCAATATTAAGATCCACTAACAGCCTAAATGGCAGGTGTCAAGCATACATTTAAATGCAAGTATACACATGTTTTGATTCCCCATATACAGTAATGCAGTGGTATGCACATTTACTGTAGCTATTTAAAGGACAGGTGTCATGCTTTTCCGGTTATTACCCGTCCCCTTGTGTGTTATGAAGGTTTTTCTGCATGTAAACGGTGTGCAGAGTCAAAACCCTCAAAGTACACCCTGTAGCGAGTAAAACTCTAACACAGAAAATACCTCCCCAAAATGCCTCGTTGGAGATACGTCATTGTCCATTGTTTACTTCCTGGGTATCGCTACGTAGGGATACCCAGTAGCCACGCCCAGAGCTATGACGCGATACGGTCATGCGGTACCCGGAACCAAATGGACCAATCCGTGGAGCCGTTACGTTACGTCCGCGGAGCCGTTACGTTAAGCCCCCGCTGATTGGTCCAAATTGACCAATCCACGGACTTCCTCACACACAGGCAGCTCTGCTGATTTCCCCTCCCTGGCTGCAGGCTGATAACAGACAGTTGGGATCGCGGCGAAATTCTCTCTGCAGACCCATTCTCACAGCGTTTATCAACCTTTTTCTTACTCAATATCAAGCCACACTTATTGTTTTTACTTCGGCTGTGAGTTTGTGTGTGCTCAGGATGAGTTTGGCTGTGTTTCGCTGTGTATCCTAAACAAGGAAACAACACCTCCACGGAGCTCAGCGCGATTCACAACGTCCCGACCAATCAGAGCACACTGTGCTCACAGGGAGGGTGGGGGCTGGAGCTATTGGAGCTACAACGAGCCGTTAAAGGCAGAGAGTGAAATTCAGTGAATACACGTAGTATACAGAGATGCTGTGTGAGAAACCAATGTGAGTTTGGAAAATTGCACAATATAAATCTATTTTAGTATACCTCAACAATGGAATTATGATCAGTGGAAATGGCCATGACACCTCTCCTTTAAAGTGGACCTATCATGCTATATTTAAATGATATATTGTAGGGCCATACCTATATAAGGTATATTTATACGTTTCTGTTTTCAAAATACCAAACAGATCATGCATTTTAGCCATGCCTCATTTCGCTCTATGTGCTGTTTGCTGTCTACGGGGCTGATCTCTGTGAGCTGCAGCTGACCACGCCCCCCCTTGATGAAGTCAAAAGGGGGAGAAAAAAAGATCTCCGTCCTCCGTGTTTTATTATATAGAGTCGTTATTCATTTGTTTTAAAGCTCAATAAATAACAAAGAAGACCTTTGACCGGTACTTTTCTAATTTTGTCCGGAAGTTTTAAACTTTAACGGACCTCTTGACCGGCGAAAGAAACTGAAACTGAAACTCTGCCGCACGGTCCCCTTGTTCCTTGGAAGAGGCGGAGAGGTGGGTGTTTGTCATCTGCTGGTGGACTAACCGGAGAGAATTATAGTGCTTGCCTCGACGGGGAGGGATTGCATTGAATTACAGCAGCGGGAGCAAACGCTTGCCTCGGGGAGGGAGAAAAAAAGCCACAGCGGAGAATAAACAGAAGGGTAACCATGGTAACTATGGGCGGGAAGTCTTCGTCGCTGCTTTTGTGGCAGACTACAGCGCCACTTACAGGCCTGGCATATGTACTACAGCGTCTCCAGCGCTTTCGAGAGGCAATGGCCGGCCGTGGCCCAACCCCACATTCCCCTGATAGGTGGAGAGTTGGCCCAATAGCCGTAGCATCACTTCTGTGACGTAATAGAAGTGTTCAAATCTGGATCAGTCTGTATCAGATCCGTTGCAGCCCCTTTTTTAGAGATTTGGGTATGTAGGAAAATAGAGAGGGTTGTGTTTTCTGACACTTGGTGAGTTCCCTGGAACACCGGGGACACATATTCATGTATAAAAGACGTACAAAAGTGCATTTTGCATGATAGGTCCCCTTTAAAAGAAGAAAAAGACCCAAACCAACGATGTGTAATTCTGTCTCTTAAAACTTTCTGACTTTCTTACCCTGTCTTTTGCTCTCAGTTCGAAACCCATTGGTTCCATTGAACGTATAGATCCTAAAATAGTCTCAATAGTTTCCCTAAACAGTAGGACACTACATTTAAACAAACTCTACACAAACAGGAAGAAATAGTGCATTTTGTGGGGATTATTTGTATGGGCGGATTAATCCACAACTGGTGTTTATACAGCTATATGTTGTAAGGGGCTGGGAGGCAGGGTAGTGGGAGGCACCTACATTCCCAACAGGTGGCTCCACCCTCTTCCAATTAGCAGTATTGGGAGCAGGTGTGGAGACCTCACACCTGGTGCTAATCAGTCCCTCAAGGGAGACAAAGCACATAGAGTTGCTCAGTTGTGTGTGGCACATGGAGGGAGCAGGAGGCTCCCAGTGTAAGGAAACGTTTTGGAAAGCTGGTAAGTCGGTTAGCGGCCCGGCTACGTTAGCCTTTGTTTAATGGAAGGTATTTTTGAGCTTGATAGCAATAAAGCCTCTTTTTGGATTTGAACACTGCCTCTGTCGTGATTGCTGCACTACTACTTTCCTCTTTATCTGCCCAGTCCTGTTACACTGGTGGAGAATGTGGGCATAAGGACTCTAGTGGTGGTGTTGCAGTTTTTTACGTTTTTAAGATGGAGGATGTACTTAGAGAGTTGGTGCGCATTTCTACTGAGCAGCAGACTCTGCAACGGGAGATGATACAGGAGCAGCGGAAACAGAATGCGCTTCTCCATTTGGAGGTCCAAAAATGCCTAACAGCAGCCTCTCCTATCCAGAGGGGAGCAACAGTGCAGCCTAACCCAGGTCGATTCATCCCCAAAATGACACAGAGTGATGAGATAGAGGCCTACTTAACAGCCTTTGAGCGCACAGCTGAAAGAGAGGGCTGGCCAAGGGACTCCTGGGCTGATCTGGTTGGACCGTTCCTCCTGGGCCCGGCACAGCAAGCTTACTTCGACCTCCCTCCTGACCAAGCAAAGGATTACGTCGTCTTGAAGAGGGAAATCCTGGCGAGGTATGGCTACAGCTTAGCAGCAAGAGCCCAGCGATTCCATGACTGGAAATACAAGCCAGAGTTGTCAGCCAGGGCCCAGATGTATGACCTAGCCCGGGTAACCAGAGCCTGGCTGACATGCAACCCCGAAAAGTTAAGTGTTTTAGAGAGGATAATGTTGGACAAATACATTCGGTCTCTGCCCTATGAGATCAAGAAAGTGACAAGCCAGCAGAATCCAGCCAGTCTGGATGAGTTGGTTAACCTAGTGGAGAGCCACGTGGTCACAGCGGACCTGCTTAAGTCCACACGACCAGACACCGAGTGGGGCCGGAAGGTCAGTGGGGAAGCATCAAGGACTAGACGGGCACGAGAACCGCCACGGGAACCAGAAGAGGTAAGGCGACGACAGTCCTACCTGCCAGAGGGCCAACCGCGTTGCTACCAGTGTGGGGAGACAGGCCACATTTCCCGGGACTGCCCAGGGAAGGATGAGCTAATGCCGACCGCCAACTCATCTGGTGCAAGGCCCTGCCACCTTCTTGACTCTTGCTGGGTACAGGAAAGCTCCCCTGGCTCAAATGATACCAGTCAAAGTAAATGGAAAAGATGCAGAGGCGCTAGTTTTACCCCACATGCTTCATCCACCTTACCACGGTTAAAGGCAGCTGTGAGCTGAAAGTGGGGGTGGTTCCTTCCCTACCAGTCCCAGTCTTGGTGGAGCAAGACTGCCCACTATACAAGCGCCTGCAGCACCAGATGGAGATGAGTCCCAAAAAGCCCAAGCGTGCCAAAGGAAAACGAGAGAAAGGACAAATTGCCACCCAGGGTACTTCTCCTCAGCAGTCCCCCAAAGTTGTGTGTGCTGTGCCGGAGGAGCAGAGAGGCAACCAATCTTCCAGTGCAGATGAGGCAAATGATAACCTTTTTGTTGCTTTCCCTGGAGACCTAAGCACAGGTGATGAGGAGGGTGAAGTCTCATTGCTTCCAAGTTTGAAGGGCCAGTTCGGGACCGCCCAGATGGAAGACCCCAATCTGTTGCATGCACGCAGCAATGTTACGGAAATAGAGGGAAAACCAGTTCCAGGAGTAGGTGAGCTTACATGTCCTCATTTCCTAATAAAAAATAATCTGTTATACTATGCCAAAGAGGTTGAAGGTCAGCGAAGAGACTTGTTGGTTGTCCCAAAACAATATGTGTCCACAGTGTTGCATCTGGCTCACAGCCATGTCCTAGGGGCCCACCTAGGGGTTGAGAAGACAAGGCAGCGGATTGGGAGCCGGTTCCACTGGCCAGGGGTGGTAAGAGCTAGAGAGGTAGAGGATTATTGTCGCACCTGTGTTGAATGTCAAAAGATGAGTCCCAAGCCACACTTTAAATATCCCCTAATACCTCTACCGATAATCGATGTACCGTTTTCTCGCATTGCCATGGACTTAGTGGGACCGCTGGTGAAGTCTGCCAGGGGACATCAGTATATTCTTGTGATCCTTGACTATGCAACCAGGTACCCGGAGGCCATTCCCTTGAGGAACATGACAACGAGAGTGATTGCACGGGAGCTGCTTCACCTGTTCAGCCGAGTTGGGATTCCTAAAGAGATGCTAACAGACCAAGGCACTCCCTTCATGTCCAAGATAATGAAGGATCTCTGCAGGCTCTTCAAGGTACAGCTTCGTACATCTGTCTACCATCCTCAGATAGACGGATTGGTAGAACGCTTTAACAAGACATTGAAATCCATGTCAAAGAAGGTTGTTGACAAGGATGGTCGTAACTGGGACGAGCTTCTGCCCTATGTCCTGTTTTCAATCAGGGAAGTTCCACAGGCTTCAACCGGTTTCTCCCCTTTCGAGCTGCTGTATGGCCGACAGCCCAGAGGACTTCTCGACATCGCGAAGGAAGCCTGGGAGGAGCAACCAAGCCCCGATCGGAGCCTGATTGAGCATGTAGAGACGATGCAGGCGCATATGAAAGATGTTTGGCCCATGGTGAGAGAGCACATGGCTCAAGCCCAAGAAGCCCAGAGAAAAGTGTATAACAGAGGTGCCCAACCGCGTGAGTTCCTGCCCGGGGATAAAGTGCTTCTCCTGGTCCCCACCACAGAACACAAATTCCTGGCATCGTGGCAAGGTCCCTATGAAGTGGCAGAGAAGGTGGGACCAGTCAATTACAAGGTACGCCAACCTGGCCGTCGCAAACCATCCCAAATATACCATGTTAACCTGTTAAAGAAATAGTACGCCCGAGAGGCACTGCTGTGTGGTTCTTCCCCAGTTGTGTCCCCCTCTTCTCCAGACAATGAGGGGGCCGAAGTTGAATACGGTCCAGGGCTATCCAAAGCTCAGTTACAGCAAACCAAGGAACTGGTTCAGCAGAGTTTGGATGTGTTCTCACTACGACCTGGACGCACAACGATGGTGGAACACCAAATCCACACAGAGCCGGGCCAAAAGGTAAAGATGCGGCCATACCGGGTGCCGGAGGCAAGACGGGCGGCCATTGAGCAAGAAGTGCAGAAAATGCTGGCTATGGGGGTGATTGAAGAATCTCACAGTGAGTGGACCAGCCCTGTCGTTCTGGTTCCTAAGCCAGACAAAACCAACAGGTTATGTAATGATTTCAGAAAATGTAATGAAATCTCCAAGTTTGATGCGTATCCTATGCCCAGGATAGATGAGCTAATTGATCGGCTTGGGGAAGCCAGGTATATCAGCACTCTGGACTTGACGAAAGGGTATTGGCAGGTCCCACTTGAAGCAGCCTCAAGAGAGAAGACGGCCTTCGCCACCCCCACAGGGCTGTACCAGTATACTGTGCTTCCCTTTGGGCTTCATGGAGCACCAGCCACGTTCCAGAGACTGATGGACAAGGTCCTGAGGCCACATCGTGAGTATGCAGCTGCCTATTTAGATGACGTTGTTATCCACAGTGACTCATGGGATAGCCATCTCACAAGGCTTGCAGCAGTGCTGGAATCTCTCCGCAGGGCGGGCTTGACAGCCAATCCAAGAAAATGCAAGCTTGGACTGGAGGAAGCTGAATACCTGGGCTTCACCATTGGGCGGGGCAACGTTAGACCACAAGAAAGGAAGGTTCAGGCGATCCAGGACTGGCCACGGTCATCAACCAAGAAACAGGTGAAAACATTCTTGGGTCTGACGTCCTACTATTGCCGTTTCATCCCAAACTTCTCCACAGTAGCCTCTCCCCTTACAGACCTGACCAGAAACTCACAGCCGCTAATGGTCAAGTGGACAGGAGAGGCTGAACACGCCTTTTGCGGCTTTCACACCAGCGCTTTTCCCTTTCTAGCTCCGAGCTAGAGCTTTTCTGGTTCAGCTCCGGTTTCCCTTTTCTGCTCCCGCTCTGTTCACACCGCCCAGAGCTGCCGCTGCTGCGTCATGACGTCACCGTTTACATCGCTGATTTTCTCCCCAACGGAGCTCACAACAACAACAACAACGGGGGGGGGGACTGCGTCGGGTCGATGATCGTGTTGCTTTTAATCATACGAAGCCAGATTAAATTAAATAACGACTTCTCCAACCTTATACTTTTCGCCAGAGTGCCGTGGTTCATTGTTTATTAATGTGTTTCAGCGGCATTTACCGACCGCTGCAGTGCTGGCTGCTCTTCCACGGGAGTTTATTCTCCCGTTAGCTCCGGGTTAGCTCACACGGCTCTAAAGTATTCACTGTCTGACTGTCACACAAGCAGCTGATACATATCCCCAGTTCCCCTTAAGTGAATGTGTGTCAGTCTGAATTGACGCTGTTTGGCATCACAACGTTGTTATGAAAGTTTCTCTGGTATAACATGGGTGATGTTAGCATAGCAACCGAAGCTAAACTGACTACTTGCTAAGCCGTTTTCTACAGGCACATTTTACCAGCGTATTTTTCATTATGATTCTACTTGTGATAGTCGGACATGACAACCTGTGCAGCCCATGTATTGATTCCATCCGATAGCTGCTATAATAACAAACAAAACGTCTGCCTCTTCACAATGATCAATAACAGCGAACGGATGGTCAAAGTAAGGTACAAATAAACAGAATCACACGAAGCCTGGTTAGTGTTGCCTGACTTTATAAAGTGTGTTTTTTTTTTTATAAGTGTGGTTGCCTTCTAGTCACTTTGCTCAGCGCTACTGCTTGTAGGCAGGCATGACGAGACTCTTCAGTCGACCCATGTTCAGGGGAGGTGGGTTTAGTTTCCTCCACGCCTCGACGTAAGAGAGACGTAAGCGACGCCGCGTCATAGCTCCGAAGCTCTTGCCTCTAGACCGACAGTTTTTTGGAGCTGGAAGTGAACCGCATTCCGGAGCTATGACGCGGCGCCGCTGCGGTGTGAACAGGAAAAAACTGCGCTTTTCCAGCTCCGAGCCGGAGCTGGAAAAGCGCTGGTGTAAAAGGGGCATTAGAGGGACTGAAGAGGGCTCTCTGTGCACGGCCGGTGTTGGTGACATCCAGACTTCAGCCGGGGTATGATTGTGCAGACGGATGTGTCAGAGGTGGGCATAGGAGCAGTACTATCCCAGGAGGTTCACGGTGAGGAACATCCCGTCATGTACATCAGCCGGAAGCTGAACACAAGGGAACAAGGGTATGCTACTGTGGAGAAAGAAGGCCTAGCAATAAAATGGGCGCTTGAGCGCCTCCGGTATTACCAATGTATTATATCTGTATATTATATGTATTTATGGCAGCAGATGGGTGTAAAATAAACTAGTTGATGTTAATAGAGAAACATGTCAATGCAACTGTGTGGCTCATTAGTGTGTTAGTCATTTTAGAGGAATAATCATTGCTGGTGTATTGACTTTGATGACATTAATGTTAACATCATGTATAACAGTGTCTTTTCATGCTTGTGTGACTCTCAGGTGCAAAAGTACTTCTAAGTGGACTGTCAGGCAACACAACTGTAAAAGTCCTGGATCTGAAGGTGACACATGCAAAAATGAAATTGTCCGTACTGTCAGACCCTAATTGGTTTTCTTTCATGAGACAGGTTGGTATTCTGTTGATGCAACATGTGTTTTTACAGGGTAACAACCTGAGATCGACAGGGGCTGAGGTGTTGGGAAAGCTGTTGGCACTTAACAAGACTCTGCGCAGGTGAGAACAAGGATTTTAATGTGAGAATATTTGTTCAGTTGCTGCTTGCAACACCAGACATGTGACCAATCTGGTCATAGCATGTATTGGGTCATTATACAATTAATTTAAACTAAATAATATTAACTCAAGTTCCACTTACTAGTTGTTTCCTGTGCTTTCACCTTCACATGGTCTTTATCAGCATGCATATTTTGCTCTGCTGTCATCACATCAGAATGGAACCTCTCCATATTGACTGAGTAAACCCCATCCACTAATGAAAGCCTAAAGAGTGGTTAAAAACTTTGAGTTATGATGAATCTGTTAAACTGCTATGTCCAAGGTCGAGAAATAACTTTCCTGAGTCAAAACTACAAATGTTTTTTAATGTTTCAATTAAAACAATAAATACATCTTAGTTTAAAATTACACTTTTTCTTATATGTTTTTGCATTAACAGATCACCTAGTTTATAATTGTTATAATTATTGGCAGACTTTGCATAGGTTCCTCAGGTAATGTGGTTTAATTATTTGCAATGAATATACTTCAAAATTCCATAAATCATCCTAATGTAGGCATTAAGGTGCAGTTATCTTTTTAAAAAGTGCAAAGGGCATTTTTCAGTGGCTGGTCACATTATTCACATTCACAAAGTGTTAGAAAAATATCACTCGTCACCGGCTTGATCTTCAATATCAGGATACATGTATTTATTATCCTTGCAAGAATGGAAGTAGTCATCACACACAGAGCTGCTTGGGACAAATAGTTCCCAGAGTAGAGTCCTTGATATGCTTATATACAAGAGAGGGTGTTGCAGTCAACAAGATGGAAGAATACCGGTTCAGAGCAGTATTCTGACATTAGTTCAGATTAGCTAAGGCCTGCGTAAGCAATACACATGACAGTCATATGCCTATCTCTAGGGGCTGTGTCATCATGCCAATCTTAGGAACATAGCTATCATAACTTAAACACAGTGTCTCATGAGCGTCATCCATGTAGTCATACATCCGGCTACGTATACAGCAGGGGTGCCCACACTTTTTCAGCTTGGGAGCTACTTTTAAAATGACCAAGCCCAGATGATCTACCTACAGGGCCGCCCCTGCTCAATCTGTGTCGGGAGCGGGAGCGGGGGGGGGGGGGTGCTAGTGGACTAAACGGCGGATATACTGTGGCGCGCTTACTCTAATTGCACCGCATAAGCGCCTAATAGTGCGCCGCATTTGCGCTTCAGATGAGGAGGTGAGGCCCCCTCATAACTGCATGAACCCGTATGGCACAATACAACTGAGACTGGCAAATGCCATAGTAAGGATGGATGATAGGCTAACTCTTTTTTTTTATTTATTTATTTTTTATACAATGCCATGCGATCTACCCACACTACCTTTGCGATCGACCGGTCGATCGCAATCAACGTATTGGGCACCCCTGGTATACAGCTACGTAGGGCCTCTGTTATCATGTGCTACTCTGATATAGAAGGAACATTCAGTATTTTCCCAACACAAAGAAACCATGTCTTTTTAATAACATATATGATCCAAAATATGTACAAATTAAAGTTGACAACTACTACTAGATTAGAATCAACTAATAAACCAATTCCTTTAAAAGATTTTTCGACCAGCATATTAACTTGATTTTCAAGGAAGAAATCACCCTATGCTCTGTCCCCATGAACACTTGATGTTTAAACCTGTGATTGCTGTTTGCAGGCTGGTGTTGGAGTGGAACGCTCTGGGCGTGTGGGACGAAGCCTTCTCTCTCTTCTGCGATGGTTTGGCCTCCAACAGCGTGCTGACACAGCTGGACCTGCGCAACAATCAGATCAACCACCACGGAGCGTCCGAGCTCGCACTGGCACTTAAACGCAACACCACGCTGCAAGTGCTGGGTGAGGTCTTCATATCTTCTGAAACACATATGGTGGTACCAAGTTTAATCACAGATTGTTTATGCATGCAATCAAACAGATGATACGAGATAAACTACAGGTAACATATTGTGTGTTTTCTGTCAAGGTTTAAACAATAATTAAAGTGGACCTATCATGCTATATTATAATAATATAGTGTAGGACCATACCTATATAAGGCATATTTATACTTTTTTTTTTTCTTCAAAATACCAAACAGATCATGCATTTTAGCCATGCCTCATTTCGCTCAATTTGCACTTTTTTACCCCTGTTTTTGCAAGGGCTGATTCTGTGAGAACAGCACCATCTACAGGCCTGGCATATGTACTACAGCGCTTTCGAACGGCAATGGCCGTGGCTGTCTCCTCCTGATTGGTGGAGTTGGCCCAATAGCCGTAGCGCCACCGTCCTGACGTCAGGACAGTGTTCAAATCTGGATCAGTTTTTATCAGATCCGTTGCAGCCCCTTTTTTAGAGATTTGGGTATGGAGGAAAATAGAGAGGGTTGTGTTTTCTGACACTTGGTGAGTTCCCTGGAACACCGGGGACACATATTCATGTATAAAAGACGTACAAAAGTGTATTTTGCATGATAGGTCCCCTTTAAGTCTGATTTAATGAAATGGAAAAATCAAATATAATTTACTCCTGGTACAATTATATTTAAATGTTTTCATGACTTGACAGTTTCTTGTACATTTGCCATGTCAATGCATCATCAGCTCCTTACATCTACTGATTATAGTTTTCATTTAAATTGTCATCAAGCATAAACCATTTATATATGTCACGCAATTTCTATACAAAGACAATTAACAATTTGCCTTATTTTGATCCATGCCTATAGACTGTCAACTGAACTGTAGCCCTTCCGACTGACTGTAGGCACGGGCGATATGACAAAATACATTGTCAAAACGTTATAAAAGGATGTCTGTCGCATATATTTTTCTATATAGACTACTATATAGATTTATTTTTCTCTATAATCTTACTTTTAACAGTTCATTTTGCACATAACGTTCTTAAAATTACTTTTTCAAGTATGTAATACACACAGGTGTATAGAAAATAGGCTTGCAATGTTGTCTTATTTAGACTATTCTTTTATTTATTGAGTTACCAAAAACATGCTATGTCATTATTTATATTGGTATTCATTTGAAGTTAGCTATCTCCTGACAGAGTGTTTGTGCCTCCCTGTTTTCAGACCTGAGGTGGAACAACGTTGGTCTGCTGGGCGGCCGGACCCTGCTGGAGGCTCTGCAGCAGAACAAGAGCCTCACACAGCTGGAGATGGCAGGGAACAACATACCGAGTGACACCCTCAAAGCACTTGGTAAGGGGTTGTGTGTGTGTGTGTGTGTATCCGTGTGTGTGCACGCAGTACATGGTTAAGCACATGTGTCTGTACGTGTCTTTAGTAGTTGTATGATTTTATCCCAGTTTTATCTATGCCTGGCTTCCAGAAGCAAGTGAATACAAGAAGAAATACCATATTTTTGTTACATTGAAGTTGTAAAGAAAAGTAATTGATGTCAAATGGTCTTTTGTGAGTGAAGTATTCTTTTAAAGCTATAGTAATCCTTTAAAAAAATTGTTCTTAAGTAATGTTACGGATACAGACGCCACCATTTTTTATGGTAAACAATATTATATGATTCATATTAAAGGAGTTATTCAATATGAGATGATGTTTTGTTTCAACTGGAGGCTCAACACATAACAACGTATAGGGCCTTTCTTTGCACAGTGTTATCACATCCTTAAGTTTTTAAGACATACGACATAAGGGCAGCTTGTGTTGAGATATACTGCAGTTGTCTGATATACAGTATATTCAGAGAAACTTATTCTTACTTCAATACTATGGCTATAATTTGATGATTTTCAACCCCTTTCCTTACTAGGAAAGCTATAACACTAATGTGGCCTGATTTTGATTGTGTTAATGATTATCCCCCAGTGATACCTGTTACCTCTGCTTTCTCTCTCTCTCCCCTCCCTGTGGCCCCTGTGGCCCCTGTGGTTGAACCCTCTCAGAGCAGACCTCAGGACACAACTCAGAGCGACAGAGCGGCCTGAGAGAGAGCCGCAGCCGGACGCAGGTCCTCGGCAAGGAGATTCAGATTCTGAAGGAGGAGAAGGGGCGCCAGGTAACCCCACACTGAAGAGTTCAATCATTATGATTTAGAATAAGAACACTATTTTAAGACTTTTAAGAAACCACATAAAAAACATTCTACACGTGTCATAATGCATCTGGCCATGCAAATAGTCAAAAATGTTTTAAGGTCTGTTGGTTGATCCACTTCTTTGTTCCAGATAGAATGATCAGATTTTAGATGGATTCAATTAGTTTAGACATTTTGACAACCCTCTGCCAGTTTATCGTATAACACCATGCTCTTAAAGGTAGGGTAGGTAAGTTTGAGAAACCGGCTCGAGATACACTTTTTGTTATATTCCATGGAATGCTCTTAACATCCCGATAGCAATGAATATCTTAAGTGCTTTGACAAAAAATGTCATCTGTGGAAGCCGTAGTACTGTAAAAAGTACGACCAATCATTTGAGCCGGCCCGGCTAAAATAACTGGATGGCCTACCTGCCTGTCAGCCTTCCATCTGTGCACACATTTATCTCGTGCCCTCATTGGTCATGTGCGCGTTCGTGTGTCTTGGAGGAGGAGCTCTGTAAGGAAGTGGCAGATTTTCTCCGGTTCTGTATTTTCAAATTCTAGCGATCTCGAGCCGGTTTCTCAAACTTACCTACCCCACCTTTAATGATTGTGTTTTCACAATAGATTGGCATTTTAATTTAGTACAGATGTTCATACTCCCAAGAAGATGCATACTAATGGCTTTGATGATCCCCTCTGCATCTAAAAGATTGATTGAAAATGTTTTTTCTAGGAACATTCATGTTCATATCATATGATGATATCCCCCTGACCTTCCCTCTGCCTAATGCTTGCAAAACGAATGACATTGTCATTAGCTGCTTTGGCAGTATTTGCTGTTTTGTGGTCATTATGTAATCACTGATTGTGTCATCTGAGTATGTGGACGTAGACATTTAGCATTGACTGTAGCTCAAAGCAGTGCTGTAGTTCAGTAAAGCCTCACAGAGCTGCTAGTCTTCCTGGAGTCTTGTTAGATATTGAAAGACCTCCTTAGTAGTATTCAATAGAAATATTTGTCACTGTAGAAAGAGTTTTATTGAAAAATTGTGCACAGTATCACTCTGTGATTTGTAAAAGTGAAACCTGAAAAACTTTTTTTGGTACACAAAAGATGTTGTGCGAAAAATCACTTTAAATTCTAAGTATTATAATGAAGTATTGCTGATTTATAGTAGTGATTTCTGTGGTTAATTCTCCTCTCTTTTAGTTCCTAAGCCTCATGGAAACCATAGACAGACAGAGGGAGGAGATGGGACGCTCCAGTGGGTGAGTGCCGGTCATCGGCTGTCATTTTAGTTCTGAAACAACACCCACATGAGTCTTTAAGCCACATACATCACATGATACATCATCCTTATGCGATCACATTCTGTATCCATGACCTGTTCCCCTTCTTTTCTGTTTGATAAGGTCTGCCTCCATTCAGGTAGGCCAACTCCAGGAAGCTCTGAATGAGAGGAAGTCAGCGATCAACTCCCTCACTGCCAAGTAAGCATTTCATTTCCCTTTATTCAAATCAGAAGCTGTAGCTTTAGTAGTGTCTTGCAGCCTTCAGATGGCTGCAGGGATTCAATGAATGGAAGTAGAAGTTTCTTAATACTGTGAGCTGCTGACATTAGATACTATAAGAAGCATTCCAATTCATTTATTGATACATAAATAATACATCTTGTTTAACAATGGTTTTGCTTTCACATTAACTGTTTATTTTTCAGTGTTTAACACATCTACTGGTTGAATAGCAATTTACACTTTAGGCATTATTCCGTCATTGCTGCCCATTTGCTTTAAGAATTTAGTTTTCTCTTGTGGATAATAAACCCTGTTTCCACTAAAACGCCTGTGATTTACTGCAATCTCTCTGCAATCAGCACCAAGATACCAACATATTTTGTTCTGCAGCCTAAAAAATAGGGCCTGTATTATTAAGAATACTTTTTAGCTTGTGTTCATCCACAAATGCACATGCAGTAACTCTGACACATGATGTGATGGTGTGCAGACTACAGATGACGGAGGCTGCCCTCGCCCTCTCGGAGCAGAAGAACCACAACCTGGGAGAGCTGCTGACACGAGTGAAGGCTGAGAAAGAAGAGCAGAGGGAGCGACAGAGCAGAGAAAGGAGGAAGGAGCAGGAGGTGCGGACAGATGGCACGATGATGATGATGACCCCTTATATGAGATTCTGACAGATGTTCCCATATTTTTCATGTGTGCTTTAGCCTGTTACTTTTTCATGAGAGCTTTCACATGTGCTTCTAAATTTAGTGCGGTAAATACATTTTTTCACTGGCTGTTCCCTACAGGGTAAATCAAGGTCACATGACCATATAGAGGGGAATCATTTAACCTACACAGAGACAAAATGTGACAGGCTTGTCGATCGTATGTTGAGGTATCTCAAATTGGCCAATTCATCTATGACAGAGTTCCCTTTACAGGCCAACAAAGAAGTTAGCATTGCAAGGGCTAACGTAGTGCTGTTAAATGCTATATGACAGTTTGCATGATCTCTTACAGGACGTCCTAAAATGGATCCCTGCCACACACCCTTGGTAACTGATAGGATTTTAGATGTAGCTGTGTCTCCTACACAACCCCACCTACCAACATGCTACCTACTTAGCCGGCTAAGTAGGTAGCATGTTCAGCGTTTGCTCCCATAAATAAAGGAGATATTAGTTTAGGTGTAAACAAGATATCTTAGATTAACAAAAGCTTTAGGTTGTTTGCTTAACAGGATGTCGACATGTTATTTGATAAAAGGGCAGTGATATAACATTACATTTTATTCAGCTGACACATTTATGACACTTTCTCAAAGCAATGTACACACAATGATAATATGGGGTTAAATACTTTGCCTGGAGTGAACTTCTGACCTTCTGATTTTGAGGCGCTTACTTATATTGGAACACAGTGAGATTATAAATAAATAGTGACAGAAAAAAATAATTGGATAATCCCAAAATCAGAGAAAAAGAGGCTTTTGAAATGCAGAATTTTTAAATTACATTTCTTCTTGGATTAGATTTATTTTGAATGAAAGTGAACCCCTAAAACACTGACAATAGGAATGAAAGCATTTCCTTATTTTTCCACAAATTGATTTATTTTATAGCTTCTTTTTGTCAATTATCCAATTCATATATTGACTATAAATATGTGTGGCAGAAGTCTAGTTCCATCTCTTTGTCAACGATATGCAGCCTAATATGGCAGGAGCATGTAGAAAAATGAGAAAACACTGAAAATTATCATGTCAGAGTTCAGTTTAGCAAAAATGACTGACAATTTGCTCTAATCACAGCATGAAAAACATGAATGTGTATTAAGAGTCTGCTGTAACAAATGTACCTCATGTGTTTCCATCCTGTAGGACAATGCACTCAGAGAGGGCAAACTGCTCAGAGAGACCCAAAACCTGTCCGACACCAAAGTCCAACAGATGAATAAAGTAAGAGTATTGTGTCTTTATCACAGTGTGTTATGTCTGAGGAGTGTGAGACTGATTGTGGTGTGTGTTAGGTGGAGGAGCTGGGGCGCAGGTGTAAGTCTCAGCAGCAGCAGGTCTTTGAGCTGAAGCAGGAGCTGACCAACAGCAGTGCCGAGCTCAAGCTGCAGCTAGCACAGGCAGAAGGTATCACACACCCACAGAACACGCACACTTTTCTTATTTACAGATACACAGAGAGAAAGTATTTTTTTACATAAAGCCAAGCAGAACTTTTGTATGTCCCCCTCTGATAGACCGTCTGGAGATGGAGAAGCGGAGGTCCAAGCAGGCTCTGCAGGACAGTGACAGTCTCCGCCAGAAAGAGGTGCACTCAGGAACTCATAAACCAATGTATTATTCACATTTCAAATCATTTGGTCCTGAAAAGTAGAATAATTAAATGAACTAACTTCTGTTAAGTCAATGCCGTCACAATTTTGCATGACAGGGGAGAATACTGTTTCAACTTGGATTATGAACCGGTTTTCTAGTCCTGATCCCTATTGAACCACAATGCTATAATTTGGGTCTACATTCTGAATGAGTTTGTTTTTCTTTGGGCCGTCTGCAGTTTGCACAGTGGTTATATTGAGGAGGTTTAAAGGAGTACGTAGTGTGTTCAGCTGATATATGAATAGGGCTGCACCATTTGGAAAAAATAACTAATTGCAATTATTTTGACTGATATAGCTATTGTGATATGATTCACTATATCAAAGTGACTATTTTTTCATCATTATTATTGAAGGATATATTTAACATTTTTAAGATGATCTGTACCAAAGATATTTTTTAAGTCTGTAGAATACGAGTTGTATGCCAGGACATCTATGCAAAACCACCTGTTTTTATTAAGATGAATATTTCCCATATTTCGTGTGACAAATACTGCGTCTCCTGCAGTTTGAATATTGCACTAGCCCATATTGCAATTTCAAATACATTTTGATTATAGCACAGCCCTTTTGCCCCAAGTTGCATGGTCATTCTAGCCTGTTAGAGGCATTATAGTGCCCTTTACATGGGGGGACGGATTTGTAACCTCTTTCATGTTTATTGTTTATTTCACTTTTCTATATGATTCATTAAAACTCCATATCCTAATAAATAAAACTACATGTAATGAAATGTACAGGTGGAGCAATTGAATCGTCATCTGGAAGAGTGTGAGAGGACTCTGCAGGAACGCATCTTCAAACTGGAGGGACAGCGGATACAACTGGAGGAGGTCAGAGTTCAGAGCGTCCATGTTTACAACCAGAAACGTAATGTAACTGCTAAGAGGTGTCACGTAGTAGTTAGTATTGGCCCAAAGCCTAATGCTCTTCATTTAGTGGTTAAAAGGTAGCAGCGGAGGCTATATACTTGGCCATAAAAACATAACTTCACTAATCAGGACTACAGGGGCTATGCAAATGAGACGTGATTGGTTGGTGTTTTTTCCCACATGTTTCTGAAACAGTGTTTGACAGGCAGGGCGGCACATCCTTATCGTGCTGGTGGTGCTATCGGGGCTTAAATCACAAAACAACTTTGTACCACTTTGCATGGATTCACTGAAGGCAGCCAAGGTTCAGTGTGAGGGGGCTTTGTGAACTGAAGGGGGGGCGTTATTAGTTAGCTTCCCTAACTGTATTTTCCAGATACGTTATTCAAATCCACAAGGAGGCCTCTTCTCTTTCCACACTGGGAATTTCCCACTAGACAAGGGGACACCCTAAAGCTGAGAGTTGAGTAATAAAACACTGAATGTGGCGAGGTACAGTTCGTGGATGCAGTAAAACTACCATCTCCATGTTTTAGGAGCATTTCTACAGAATGAAACTGCAGTGAAATTAAATGCTGTTCCTCATTTTGGTTTGTATCCTTAACGACTCCTTCAGAAACTACCTGTGCTCTTTATGTGACGTTGTGTTATGATGTAATTGTGTTGCAGGAGCTGAGTAAAGCCAGAGCGGTGTGTGTGACAGAGAGAGCTCAGGCAGAGGAGGAGCTGGGGAGAGTGCGAGCTCAAGTTCGTCTGGAGGAGGTGGGTTTTAAAAAACTGTTATTAAAATGTTACTACATTTTCGGTTACATTATTGATGGCTTTTCTCTGAGGCAACATACAAGGTGAGGTGTAATCAAAGAAAGAAATGAATGTACTGCAGTTAAACAGCTCTGGAGTGATGACATGCTATCTGAGATCATTGGAGTTCAGATACCATGTGTCCCAGTCAGCCTCAGCAAAACAGCCCTGAATATGATGTAAGGTTTTTCAGTACAATTAATACCATCCCTGAGTTTGTATACCAAGCAATATTATAAAAAAAAAAATGTTTTACAAACTCATTAATTATGGCTAATTCTAATATTGTAGGCATTTCAGAAATGACCTTACAATGTGCTTTCCTCCCTCGCATTCATTGTTTTTAATGACTCTTTGAATGAAAAGCAGATCATCCTTGTCGTGGCTTCCTTCCTTGTTTTTCTATCAAGCCACTAGATGCCTTAAACAGACATTTTGAACTCGTTTTTCTTTCCTTTATATTACTTACAGTCAGTGGCGTTTTTATATGTACAAAAGTGGTGGGGCACGAACAACTTAGATGTGTTTAAGCTTCTGGTGCTTTTTTAAACACGTAAACAAATAGCTGTAGGCTATCCATGGTTCCGATAGAGAGAGGGGGGGGGGGATATAAGGAAAACACAGACACTCATCACCGAGGTCACAATATCAATGGATCCAGCAGAGCAATAGCCTATAGGCAAAACACAGAAGATCAACAAAAGATATGACATAAAATGAACCTACCAAAGCTGAAATAGATGGTCAACTTCATTCATTTTCTTTCCGTTTTACTGATTTTAATCGCTATATGCTGCTCTCTCTCGTCTCCTCTTCACAAACAACTACTATTTTCGCGGCACACGTACTTACAGCCAATCAGCTCTCTGAATTATGAGATGACGTTTGGTGGGTATGTCAGCACACTGCCCCTATGGTGATTATTTTTTTGCCGCACACATTGAATAAAAAAATACTCTTGAGCATGCGCAGTGTAGTTTTTACAGCAACCATTCACTTAGACAGTGAGAGGGAGGGGCATGATCGGGGCTTGACCCACGTCGCTCAAAACGGCTCAATAGGCACACTGTAGACACTAATTAGAAGAATACAGACTAAAACAGCAATTTACAGACGAATCAGATGATTAAACATGATCTTAAAATATATTTTAAGATGTATTCTTTTTGCATTTATTTGCATTTTTTTGGAATTATTATTTGAATGACTTTCTGCTGACACTAGGTGAGGCTGTGCCCCACCTGCCCCTAATGACCAGTCGCCACTGCTTACAGTTGAAGAGTTGCTTGGCCTCCGATGGTTTGGATGATATTATACGATGTGTTGCTCAAAATAAAATAACAAATTTTTACACATGCAACAAAGAAAAGAGGCCTTTACAATATTCAAAACAAATAGGCAAAACTCAAATAAAATAACAAACAACTTAGGTATTCTTTCTTTCTTGATAAGGCTTATATAAGTTGATAACTTAAAGGGTAATTGGACGTTTGAAAACTGTTCCTCAACGGCGTCTTTCTAGCAGGTTGCCCATCACTGTCGCTTTAGAGGAGGCGCTGTGGGAATTGTAGTCTTTTATGCTCTGGTTGACTACAGATGTCACTATAAGGTGGCCTTTCTTATAAAAACAAAATACTGGCTCTAACAATCCTAGTGAAATAAAGTCAGTTCACAATCCTCCTGAACTCACCTGTGGTTTCCCCTGAGCAGCAGGAGCACGTGTCCTCTGTGGAGGAGAAGCTCCGCTGTGTGCGCTGCAGCCTGCAGGAGGTGCAGCTCCACTCCTCGCAGCAGAAGCAAACCATCTCTGAGCTGCAGGCCAAGAACAGCCAGCTGAGCGTGGGGGTGGACGGACTGAGGCGCCGCACGGAGGAGCTGCAGCAGGTCAGGAGCCCCAGCTGTACACCTTTCACTATTCAGCCTGTGTGGACATCATTCAATCCAATATGTAACTCACAACATGGATTAAATAGTAGTGGTGCATAATAGAATATACTAAAGTCCTAACAGGCAAGTGAGAAAAAGAAACTCGGGTGATCATAGGTGTTAAGTTAAATCGTTTTTTCTTCTGTGAAAAACATTTGTTGTGGTCCTGTAAATGTTGTTTTCATGTGTAATACATTTGGGAAAACAAGTTTTGCTAGGATATTTAAAGTTACTTGGAAAAACACAGGCGTTTCATCTTATTTCAAACTTGGGGAAATAGGGCACATGGTTTTTACAAGACAACTTTTTTTTTTTTGATTTAAGTTTGATCTGAATAGTTTTTCTTTCTCCTGTGTTAATGACTTTTGAATGAGTGAAAGAAAATGTGTTGCCAAGATAGGGTTAGGGATACTATTTCTGTGATCTTTTTATCTTCGAAACAGCATTACAACAAGAAACACTTGGGGAAATGATCCCCATCAACAAGTCTATAGGACTCAGAAGACTATCCTGGCACAACCTTGTTTTACTTGGGGTCTGATCTGATGTGGCCTCTCCCCTTGTTTTACTTGTCAAGTAAAACAAGGGGAGAGGCCACATCAGATCAGACCCCTGTTTCTGCGCAGTTTGCGTGAAAATGTGTCCAAACAGAAAGACAGATTCACTTTATTTAACTAGAAACTAGAAAGAGGATGTGGATTGTGTTTGTCTGTATTGTGAAAAAAGTACGTCTTGAATGTTTTCCAACATCTTGTAGCCTTTTCCCATGTTTCTTTGCATATGTAGCCAAATGAATCAAACGTTGACTCCAAGGGAGAACATTCATCTTCAACCTCTGCTCATTGATATTGGCTCATCATTTAAAGTGAAGTGGACAGATTAGTCTAACTCACCTTGGGTGTTTGACTTCTTTCCTTCAGTTATGTCCAGAGGCTTATTCTTGTTTTAAAATCAAAGAACAAGATACAGCTGTTCATTTTTGAAATGATGGTTTGACAGAGAGTGTATTGTCCATCTAAACCTTGAAAAGATGTCAGTCACCTCATAGTGTGTCATGTATGGGATGTTTATTTGCAGCCAAATTCTAGAAAATAACACATTTCACACTGCGGCTCTATTCAAGAGATCTCATGTGTAGCTCATCCCTTTCTCCATGCATGCTGAGATATAAAGATACTCATAGCTTCTGTGTCCTTATCCATGTGACAAACCTCCGGGAGTGATACATGATCAATGTTTGGAGCTGGGTGTTGATCAGGTGGTGTTTTGTTGCAGGATCTGTCGGGGAAGGATCAGGAGAAGGTGGCTGCAGTGAGCCAGGTGAAGGTGGAGCTGCAGGAGCAGATGGGACACCTTCAGGCAGAGAGGACGGCTCAGGGGGGCCTGAGGGAGAAGATCAGCGCTCTGGAGAGAGAGATTAAAGGTGCACGCCACTCTTTCAGAGCTTCCACACAAAGAGAAGTACATTTCTTCAAATGAAATGGTTTCTTATTGTATCTTTATTTGTGTGATTTATTCCAGGTTAAATACATATTTTGTATGTTTCTACAAGTTACTTAAAACCAGTGTTTATATCGTTAATAAAGGATATACATTTGGTTTAAAAAATATTTAGTACTATTTAGGTTTTTTGTCACCATATAGCTACACTTCCCATCGCTCTGTCGCTTTTCATCTCAAACACAACCACACATGGAGGAGCAATACTGAATTTCAATCATCCAACTGGTGTTTTTGATCCGATAATGTGCAATAAGTTTGACTAGTGGCAAAAAGAATGTCTGGTTAGACTAGATTGACAGAAATGTTCAATATATTATGGTGACTGAAAGAGGACATTGGACATAGGATTCCAACATGATTAAAAAGACAATTCATTTAAAAGTTAGCTGATATGTAAATACTTTTTGGCATCTTAAAATGGACTCAAATTATTAGAGTTGAAATATTATAAAGTAGCAGCATAAATTAAAGGTGGGGTAGGTAAGTTTGAGAAACCGGCTCGAGATACACTTTTTGTTATATTCCATGGAATGCTCTTAACATCCCGATAGCAATAAATATCTTAAGTGCTTTGACAAAAAATCCATAAAAAAAAATGTCATCTGTGGAAGCCGTAGTACTGTAAAAAGCACGACCAATCATTTTAGCCGGCCCGGCTAAAATAACTGGATGGCCTACCTGCCGGTCAGCCTTCCATCTGTGCACAAACTTATCTCGTGCCCTCATTGGTCATGTGCACGTTCGTGTGTGTTGGAGGAGGGGCTCTGTAAGGAAGTGGCAGATTTTCTCCGGCTGTGTATTTTCAAATTCTATTCTCTCTCCAACATTACCTACCCCACCTTTAAGACTGCTTGAAACAAAGCAGATTAACCCAGGTCCAGTTTTTCCTTTTTTAAATTAAAAAGACACTTACATTACGTTCTGAAGTTATTTGAAATGCATCATGTGTGTAAATATGAAATATATATTCTGTATTTTCACACCATTCTCCCTCTATGCTTGCTGTCCTGCAGTGCTCAGCAGCAGCCACAGAGAGGTGCTCCTGGACAAAGAGAGTGAGATGTCCTCCATGCTGGAGAAGCTCCGTCTGAAGGAGGCGGAGATCCAGAGGATGAGGGAGGACGAAGCCAACCGAGCCAGCTACCTGCAGTCCGCCATCCTCACATACGTCCAGGGCTCGCCTCTGGGACACTACAGCAGCCCCAAGAAGTGACCCCCAAGACCACCTCTGAGCCCTCAGGACCGTCTGCAGAATACAAATAAATCGTTATTGTCCTGACATGAAACATTTGGAAAACTCAGAAGAATCATGAGTGTTCGGGGACATTGGTGCGGGGCCATATGACTGTGAGCTGCAAACATACTGTACCTTACACAATGTGCAGACCCAGTCAAGAAAGGGTGACGTTTGGAGGATATTCATGGTCCCCAGAGAAGGAATATGACATGCATACATTTGGAAGCATTTTTTGATCTTTATTTGGTAAATTAATTAACTTTTATGTCTTTTGTTCCATCTACCCTTTTATTGTGTAAAACAACTTGCCAGCTGGATGAGATTATTACCTGTTTCAAAATACCGTGTTTTTATCCTTCTACAGGTTAAGCGTCAGGTTTTATTCATTACTCTAAACATCGAAAAGGGGGTAAAGACACTAAAGGGTGTCTTATGTCTACCATGCCATGTACCTTTAACTTTCTAGAGGTGCAAGAAGTGTTTTGAGCCTTCAGTAAAGTCTGTCTTATAAGAAAATACTGGATCCGAGACTAAAAAGCACTTGGAAATATATTTGAATTGCTTTGACCACAGCCCTGTCTTAATGCTTTACATTTTCTTGTATCATTGCCAACACATGCCATCTCTCGTGTCTTTAGCTCTCCCATTAACTCTGTGTAGTGTACTGTCCTTCAAATGGACCGTGCGTCAACATTTCCATCTGTTTGCAGCCCATTGTGTTCTCATTCTTCTTCTCTCCAGTCTAAATGAGTTGAAGACACTCCAGTGTTTACATACAGAATGAGATTTGCTTCAAATATGCCTTAATATGTTATCATATCTGTCACACCAGAGGCTGCCTCTCTGCAGTTCAGATATAGAGAGCATTACACTGATTCACAACATGTCTGTTGTTTTTACAAATGATTTCATGAAGGAAGTCTGTCAAATTGAACTCCTGATTCAGTCTTCAGACAAATTGCTGTTTTATATCTTCATATTGTTTCAGATATATTTTAAGGTGCTTTTACCATTTGTACATATCATCTAAATGTGGTAGTTTCTGAACTAAATCTCTTGATTTTCTTAATGTGTGCATAATTTAGCAGTTGATCTAGATTAGTCTATAATGCCATTCAACATTTAACAGTACACTAGTCAGTGTGTTGTGTGTTAGTGGGGTGGGGATGTATGAGGTCATTGGGTGTTTGAATTACTGCCAAAGATATTTGACTGTCAAGATGGTTCAGGCCCATTTAAAACCATTGATAGTCACTATGGAGGAACCTTCACCGTTGTGTCTGCCTTATGGGATCGTCATAAAAGTGTATCGTATTGGTAGTTACATTTAAAACATGAATACATATCCCGGAATATGCTTACTTATTTATATATGATTTAAAAATTAAGACATTTAAAACACAATTCAGTCATCTAGTAGTACAATAAAAACATATTATATTCGTTTTTTTGTTATAATTAATATTATTATAAATGGTGGTTTTAAAGGGTTTAATCAGGAACAGTTTAATTGCCAAGTAGGTTTACACTTATGAAGAATTTGCCTTCGTTATAGCCTGTCGTGGCTTCCTTCCTTTCCATTAAGCCACTGACGCCTTAAACAGACAGTTCTAACCATAGGTTCTAACTCGTTTCTTTCCTTTGAATTACTCAGTTTGAAGTGTTGCTTGGCCTCCGATGGTTTAGATCAGGGCTATTCAATTGGCGGCCCGCGGGCCAAATCCGGCCCCGGGGTGATATTTACTGGCCCTTTGAGTATAATGTTAAAAAGTCATCAATTTTTTTTTTTTAAGATTTTTTTTTTTTTTGTGCCATAGTGCCTTTATTCCAGAGAGGGTGTTACATTGAGAGATAGAGGGGTAGACAATGCCTGAAAACTTCGACGGGCTCGGGTTTCGAACCCACCTACTATACTGTAGTGACAACTCCTGTCATTGATTGCATCTCTGCGTGAATGATTAGATCATTTCACCTAAATGAAATCAAATGAAACATGTAGGTCTACTGAGTTCTGAACTTGCCATTTAGATCTATAAAGGCCTTGGGGCTATGTTGTTTGATTGAATTAAACACAATATATGCACTCCACTATGCTGTTGTAGTATTTACTGTATCTGAAGCTCTTAAATATGATTGCTCATATTTCAAGCCATCTTTTTCCCGGCCCCTTGCTTTGGATCATTTTCATCAACCGGCCCCCATTCCAAACTAATTGAATAGCCCTGGTTTAGATGATGTTGCGATGTGTTTGCTCAAAAAGAAATAACACATTTTTGCACATGCAACAAAGAAAAGAGGCCTTTACAATATTCAAAAGAAATAGGCAAAACTCAAATAAAATAACAAACAACTTAGGTATTATTTCTTTCTTGATAATGCTTATAACTTCATAACTTAAAGGTGGGGTAGGTAAGTTTGAGAAACCGGCTCGAGATACACTTTTTGTTATATTCCATGGAATGCTCTTAACATCCCGATAGCAATAAATATCTTAAGTGCTTTGACAAAAAATCCATAAAAAAATATCATCTGTGGAAGCGAGTAGTATGAAGCTGCAGCCTCGGAGGAGCATGCACTCTCAGGACCGCATGCACTCTCAGGACCTCACCGCATGCACTCTCAGGACCCTAGTTGTTTTGCAACATCGCCACCTAGCGGATTGGATGACCGCAAAAGTACAACCAGCGAGTATTGAGTCTCATACACTGCGAGTCTCTTTAGACATTGTAATGCTTGTTATTAACCATCTAAAAATGCATGAAAATATGTTTTTCTTACTGAAATTACATTATTATTATTAACAAGTTGTTAATATGTTTTTGATTTTTAATAACAAATGTATTTTGTATGTCAGATGTAAAAAGATAGTCTTTTATATTTGTCTTTATCAAATTTGACATACAACATAAATATATATATATATATATATATATATATATTGTAGTAATAATGATATAATCTATTTATAATTGTAAATGTATATTGTATGTAGACATACATTTAGATGTATATTTTGTTAAAAGAAAACTGTTAATTTAGTTTTTGGGAGAAGGGGTGGGGTTAAATAAGTGTAAACTCCTTTGAATCAATTTGATACTGCTTATGTTTCTACAGTATCATAATTCTCTTGTTTCATTTCATTATTATATATATATATTTTTTATTGTATTACACGTTCGAAATAAACACTCCTCGCCGTCCACTTCCCCGGTAGCCTGTGCCAACGTCCTTATAAAGGTTGTCGCAGTAAAAGCACCTGGAAATTTGGGTCCTGAGAGTGCATGCGGTCCTGAGAGTGCATGCGGTCCTGAGAGTGCATCCTCCTCCGAGGCTGCAGCTTCATACTATTGGTGGAAGCAGTGATACTGTAAAAAGTACGACCAATCATTTTAGCCGGCCCGGCTAAAATAACTGGATGGCCTACCTGCCTGTCAGCCTTCCATCGGGGCACAAACTTATCTCGTGCCCTCATTGGTCATGTGCGCGTTCGTGTGTGTTGGAGGAGGGGCTCTGTAAGGAAGTGGCAGATTTTTTCCGGCTGTGTATTTTCAAATTCTAGCGATCTCGAGCTGGTTTCTCCAAAATTACCTAAAAGGGTACTTGTACGATTTGTATGTACGTGTAGTATGATTACGATTACGGTTAAAAACTGTTCCTCGACGGCGTCTCTCAACAGGTTGCCCATCACTGTGGCTTTAGCACAGGCGCCGTGGGAATTATAGTGCGTTGACTACAGACGTCACAATTAGGTGGCCTTTCTTATCAAATCAAAATACTACCCTAACATAGCCTATGGTGCACACATAAACACAGTCGAAGAAGATCAATTGTAAGAAAAACAACCAAAAAATAAAACTATTATGAAAAACTATTTTAACCGTAATGATAGAGGCTGAAATTGAAAAGTTGGAAGATTAAAAAATCCAAACCCTTGAATGAATGCCATCTGCACAAAAAAACTGCCTCTAGAAAAAATACAAGCAAACATGTCCCGCACTCTCGGCTAAGGCACAAAAGAAAAACGGAAGCGGAAGTGCAAGGCGTGTATCATCTCTTTCTCTGCTGGGATGCTTATTTTCTGTGCTCTGTCTCTTTAAAACACTCGGTAGTTTCCGGAGCTTGTCGCCGCTACTCGTCATCGACCCCTTTCACTGCGGCTCCATCGCCGAGCGGACTGGCCCGCTGCTCTCATCCGAGACCTCAGTGCAGACCGTCGGATCCGCTAAAGCACCAACACCGGCTCCCTGAACGTGTCCAGCTCCTGTAAACATGCAGGCTATCAAATGCGTGGTGGTGGGCGACGGGTAAGAGCACGCGCACACACACATGATCAGCAGCACGGTCGTTTTTATGTGTGATTCGGTGAAGCGTCCATGGATGGATGGGTGATCGGAGGATGCTATGTAGGAAAAGGGGCTGGGGCTCACCGAGCGGTCGGTCGCCCTGTTTGTTCTGCTCCACACCCCTCCTCCCGGGTCGGCTTTGTGGTCGCATCGGTTCGATCGCATCGTGGCCCTTCCGTTCATTGTGGCGGTCGCGGCGGATGCGGGAACACCTACACGCCTCGTAGGCCACTGGAGGCAGGCTGAAGTGCTGATGCACGCTGAGGAATTTGTGGCCCTGTCACTAAAACAGGCCCCGCTGTCCCCATTCTGCTCACACTGAGCCTTTCTTACTGCAGCCAGAGCCCGTTCAGCTGCATGGGGGCGCACATTTGCAGCATGGGGGCATACATTTGCAGCAGGGTGTTCTGCACTGCTTCTGATATCAATGCAATGCATAGATTTAGACTGAGGAAAATCAGCCATTAGTGTCAATTGTGAGAAAAAAATAGGCCTTGTCTGAGTCCTGCTTATTATGATGTATGTCAGAAAGCTGGAACTAAACAGAATTTACTTTTGAAATACATTAGACTGACAGTGTTTGAATATCCATACTGTATATGACAGGATATTTGCAAAATGTGAATTCTTAAATTGAATAAATCCCTTAAAGGAGCCTCTGATGGCACACATCAAGCTCAGTGATTCTTCATGGGGAGTACTGCTCAGCTGCCTCTGGAGAGAGATTTACTAAAGCATTAGAAAACCTGATGATGTCGTCATCTTGGATTTGCAAACTACACATTTTCAACAGAAAACCTCCATTACAAACAACTAGGAGGTGTTTACCAGTCAGGGAGGGTCCAAATATCCAAAACAGGCCTTATTAGAGAAGACATTTTGACCATTAATTATCTATAAAAAGGGGACGTAGCCATCCATGAAGTCACCCATTGGTTGGTGGACCATCGTTTTGAGCCTAGAATTTGGTATTTGGGCATTCGCCGTTTTGTTTTGCTGCAGTCAGAGGTGACAAGAGGGTGGAGCTGGGCAGGGAAACGCACTGCTACGACTCTAA